GGAGGAATTCAAAAGATTAGAATTTGAAAGAATACAAAGAGTAGATGCACCTGTGCCATTGCAAACGATTTGAAACCATGTCATTCAAAGTTTCTAACCATCGATTACTATCTTTGCTCGAACCCTAATCAGGTAGCAAAAACTGACCGACCGTAGCTGTTACCTTGATGTGGTGGTCGGGCTATTGTGATGACCCAGCCGAGCTATACTGGCTGGAACATATGTTCTTGAAGGTTCTACCATGCCAAACAGGTCGATTGGAGAACGATCAGACTAAAAGCAGCTACTCAAGGTCTGAGGGCGAAGTCTTACTGCTGACTGACTGAAGAGGGGTGTGACAGCAGTTAGGTGTTTCCCTCGGACATCCGGCATCTGCAGCGATGCTGCCTTCTCACAACGAAGGAAGGGTTAGAAAAGGTCGACACTAAAAATGTCATACCTCAACCTACCTCACGGATTTCAGTCTCCGTCGGTAAGTGTGCCCACTAAGGGCTTTTAAGAGCGGAGCTAATTCTCAAAAATCCTTTCATAAAAAGGCCATGAGTGACCGGCATCAAGCAGTTGTCCCTTGGACTCTGCGGTCACGCAACCAGGTCTCTAAGACCAACTCTAATCCACCTTCCTTTATAGGTTCCTCAAGAAACAACCTTCTACGGTGTAGGCGGCCGGGAAGTGACGATTGCCCTCATTCCCGTAACAGCACACGAGACCAAATTGGTCAAAATCAAATCCTTCCTACACCCCCTAATACCTCTCTTATCACCACAACTAACACTTCTAAACTGACTAAGGCCAATCGGATGACTTTTAAAAATCTGTAAAAACTTCATTTACCGTTTCAAGATTATCAATCATCACCTATACATTAGGACAAGTTTAAAAGTTTTCTTTTTATCGATTTCTAGGGGAGGATAACTTGTAGAGAACATTGGTGAACTTAATAGTTATGTAAGATCTTTGTGCTCGTTATAACTAACTATTAAACACTTTTCTGATTGGCTAAACGCTTGCTGGGGATTTTATGATTATTGTTGTTGATGTGGATGTTGTAAACTTGTCTGTTTACTTACTCTACTATACCTACCAAAGTTTTGCCTCATTTTCGTCGTCATCATAAACGCACACTTTTTGATTAATCCTAACCTTAAATAAATTTTTGTCATGTGCACATTTGACCTTGTCGATGGTGTATGTCACCTTGAGGATGCTTTTTTAAAAATACTAAGATGCATGATAGTTTTTATATATATATATATATATATATATATATATATATATATATACTGTACTTGTTTGTTTCTGTTTTATGCTAACATGTGTTATGTCATGTTTAACTAGGATTGTGTAGGGGACCCATTTAACCCGGCTTCGATTTATATCTCTTCCCTTTTTTTCTGCCATCATTAATAAATCTGTCTGATATCATTTGTATAATTTCATTTATGCTTTTTACTCAGCTATTTTCATTGACGACATACTTAAATCCGTGCATGTGAAATGAAGTTTCATTACGTAACAATATTTTATATTATTGCTCATTGATGTCCGTGGTGGTGTTTCGTTCTCTAAGCTGGGTGTTTTGGTTGTGGAGCTTTCATTGTTCTTTTGAACAACATCATCAGCACAAACTTCAGATAGAAGTGAAGCATTCTAATTTCTCCACGTTTGACCTGTAGCTTGTTCTGTTAACCTCGATCTTGATTGGTTGCTGTTGACCTTAAACCTGTCGTTGTTTGCACCTTTGTTTTGATTGTATCACCCTTTTGATCTGTTTCTTGATCCTATGCCATGTACGGTTTTTCTGATTGGTTGATAAATTGGGTCAATGTCGATGTGTTTGTTGATTGCTGATTGACCTGAGTGCCAAGCTTTTAAAAATTCTCTCCCTACCCAATATTTCCACATTGTTCCAATTGAATATATGTCCATAATTGTCGTGACGTTTGACTGCTAATTGGTGTTTACGTAAACGAAGCTAAAGAGGCCGTCCACCTTGTCTCATGTAGTGTTTTTCACAGTTTGAGCAATTTATTTTGTAGATAGTATTTGGTTTTTCTTCCTTTGTCACTTTGTCCTTTGGTCTGCATAGGATTGTTTGAAGTGATTCTGTTGGTTTGTGTGACACACCTATCAATACAAAGCTCAGTCAAGTTGTCAATGACTTCATGTATTAGTGCCATGTTTCGGTTTGGCCAGCCTAAGTCTACATTAGACAATGTAGCTAGCTCATCGAGCTAGTTGGTGGTCAGGCCCATATAACGCATGTCCGAACCATCTGAACTGATGAAGATTCACTACTTCATCCATTGTTCTGACATCTTTACCTAGTACCTTTTATCCAATCCAGGCATTGCTTACTTGATGGTCCCAAGTCATACAATCCATGCTTGGAAGATCTTCTATGACTGAATACTAGTAACCTAAGAATATCCTCTATTATAAATTATACCAATTGTGCATGATATAAATATCTATATATTCTAATCAACTTTTATATTTGTTTGTAGTATATTTAAATAATCATTCAATTTGAATGTTGTAAGTTAATTTTCAAACTGATTGTTTATTTAAAACGAAAAATTTCGAACTGATCAATGTTTTTTTTAATAAAATATATGTCTTCCCTTCCTACCTTGCTAATATGCATTTAAGAGTTTCGAAGTCAATCACAACTAACCAGCTAACCTCTACTGTATTTCAAACAGACTTACTTACTTACTTACGCCTGTTACCCCCAGTGGAGGATAGGCCGCTCACCAGTTTTCGCCAACCAACTCTGTCCTGGGCTTCCCTCTCCAGTTCTGTCCAATTTTTGTTCATTCCTCTCATATCTTTCTCTATTTCTCGGTGTAATGTGTTCTTTGGCCTTCCTCTTTTCCTTTCACCTTGAGGGTTCCAATGGGAGGGCTTGTCTCGTGATGCAGTTCGGTGCTTTTCGTAGCGTGTGTCCTATCCACTAACTCCATCGCTTCTTCCTGATTTCCTCCTCCACTGGAATTTGGTTTGTTCTCTTCCACAGTACATTGTTGCTGATGGTGTCTGGCCAACGAATCCGACGTATTTTACGAAGAAAACTGCTCTCAAACACTTGTATCTTCTGGAGATGTAGTTTAATGCACAAGTTGACTAACTAGACTGCATAAAAAAAACTGACTATTGTACATGATTGTTAGGTTCGTCACTAGGTATATATGCTTGGAACTATTACGGGTTTACCTTAGTCGATAAACGCGAACGAGACAATGAACTAGCGTTCAGGTAGGTTATCCTGATCTGCTGACTAAATAAAAGTCTTGATATATAGCGTAGAAAGTATGTATATTCTACAAACATCCAGAAATCACACAATGCAATCAAGCACACAAATCTCGTTTATTTATACATCATAGAAACGTCATTGGGACAGTCACAAAAATAGCACACTAATATATAACTCAGCAACCAATCAGAGCCAAGGATTTTCTTGGTGGGAAATGAAATCTCAAGGTCAACTGATCAGCCAATGCTCGCAAACATGAATATATAAATTGATTTTTATATAACAGTGTTGATAGTTTATGCTTACAACAACCCAAACAACACATCAAGATATATTAAAGAGATTTAGTAGGTGGCTCGTATTGTAGGGCTCACCATTTTAGTGACATCGAGACTTGACTCCAATTGGAGGAATGATCAAGTAAGTGTACGATGAAAGAAATCTTCCCTTTCGATTACTGTATATCAACAACACGTAAGCTGACGACCTCGTTTGTACGACGATGGTTATAAGAAGTCGAATGTGGTGTCGCAGCTGAATTTATTTCTAAAGCTCGGTAATTAGCTTGTCTAGACAATCGTTACAAAGTAGCGGCGTCTGACGGTTTATAAATCAGAACGTGAACTGGTAGTGATGAATACGTTTATTTTTGGAACACACCACAAAGCGAAACGAAGCGAAGCAAAGCGAAGAAGCAGTGAATAAAAGGAATGAAGCGACGTGAATTGAAGAAAAGCGTTGGCAAACGCTAATGAGCCAACTCCAAAGAGATAGTCAGACAAATATAAGACAGACATACGACAAGCGAAATAGAGGCACACATGAATAAATGCGACGAATAGTTGACATGGTCAAATGACAAATGGGACACATCATGTGAGCTCATCATACAAACCAGACAATAATAATAAGACCGAATGGTACATATAAATTGTTTCTCGCAATACAAATGGCTTGGTTAAATGAAAATTAATCGAAAGGGCTTAACCAAATTAAATGTAAGCGGAGGTACTACAATGTGATTCATTATTCCAATGATATTTATAACACAACCACCCCCTAGTAAAGCATACATCAACCAGCATTCTCCAATTTACTCTGTCCAAGGCCTTCCTTTCTAGTTCATTCTTCTCATGCCTGTCTCCAGTTATTGGCGTAATGTGTTTCCTTGGCCTTCCACTTTTCCTTTAACCTTGAGAGTTGCAAGTGAGGGCTTGTCTTGTGACGCAATCGGTTGCTTTCTCTTCAAAGTGTGTCCAACCCGCTTCCAGCTTTTCTCATTTCCTCATCGTCTTCTGGCATCTGATTTTATTCTATCCTACAGTAGGTTGTTTCTGACACTGTCTGACCAGTGGATTCGAAGTATTTTGCGTAGACAACTGTTGATAAATACTTGTATCTTCTGGATGATGGATTTTGTGTAGTTCTCCAAATTTCCTCTCCGTACAGTAGAACTGTCTTTAACGTTGCATTGAATATTGTGACTTTGGTGTTTGTTTTGAGTTGCAGATGTAGAAATGTTGTCCTTGCTTTGCTGATCCATACCTTCACATCTACATCTGATTCACCTTGATCATCAATAATGCTGCTTAGATGTTATTTACTAACTAACACTACTACCATTAAACTCACAGTTGAAATTGTATACAATATTCATGACTACGTTTAGTTGTTTAGTTTTATTCTTAATTACAACAGCCTACTTATCGCTCATTTATGTATGTATTTGCATTTATTTCAGACTCGACCGAATTGTTCAAATTTCAATAATTCCATTATGTTAAATTTCGATCCATTAATGAACAACACCTCAGAAAGTAAGTTAATGTTTATTTTACTTATTTATTGTCTTATTTGATTGATTATTTCTGTTTAACTAAGAAGATTAAATTAGAGTTTTATGATTTTGATATACTCAACTATTGGAAACTGATATGTTTATGTGTGCTAAGTTGGGCGTGTTTATTGTGATATTCAATCAACTGGTCTATTTATTGATTGGAACAGTTATTATACAATATAGTCAATCAGTCAGTCAGTTAGTCAGTTGCAACGTAGAACTTCGTACGTATGTATGTACATAAGTTCATGTTGCCATACCATCACATTAGCACAGAGATGCAAATGTCAAATTAAAAACCCATAGTGATAAAGATAGTAGAGGTGGTATTAATGGTAATGAAGAACACTAGGGCTTAAAGATATTATTGAAGAAGTATAATTTAGTGAGATAAGGTTAGAAAGACAAAGGTATGGTAGAGGTGCTGACGAATCCAGAAGATTAGGATTTGAGAGAGCACAACGAATGGATGCACTTGCGCCGTTGCAAACGATTCTGAGCCATGTTGTTCAAGGTCTCTAACCTTTGGTGACTTTCGTCTCGCGAACCCCAAACAGATAGTCTACATCTACCAACATGACTCAGTCCACTTGTCAGTGACTTGATGGATTTGTGCCATGTTTTGGTCGCCCCCAGCATTCTTCCAACCTATTCCTACACCACAAAACATAGCTCTTTGAGGCAGTCGGTGGTTGGGCATACGCCGTAACACATGTCCCAACCACCTTAACTGATGAAGTTTCACCACTTCCATCTATTGATCTTCCATTCTTACCTAGCACCCGTTTTCTAACAACTGCATTGCTTACTTGGTTGTCCCACGATGTACGAGCAATGCTTCTTAAACATCTATGGTGGAATACTAGTAACCTACGAACATCTTCTACTCTCAACGGCCATGTTTCGTATGCATATCGGAGAACGGAGCGAACTGCTACGCAGTACACCCGTCCTTTAGTCAGCGAACGGATATCACGCCTACGCCATAGGTGACGCAGTTTTGCAAAAGCCAATCGAGCTTTCTGTATCTGAGCTGAGATTTCGTCAGTCACCAGGCCATCAGCACTGATGAGACTCCCCAGATAAGTGAAGCGATCAACACGCTCGACTACTTCACTCCCTATCACTAGTTCAGGTGCCGATGCAACCCAATCTTGAAGCAACATTTTGCATTTCGAGGGTATTACACAATATAACTCTCTATTGGCAAGGTAGAACCAGGGAGACTGCACACATGTTAACTTTTTAACATGAACAGTTCGTTTCAATCCCGTGGCGCAACCATACTGGTACCTGACACTGGTGGACCCATTCCCACTATTTATATACACTCGTACATATATAGTGATTATTTCCGACCTATGATTGTGCCAGGCAATAACCACCCCATGAACAGGTCAATTCGACTCATCCCGCTTACATGACTATCAAACTCATTATCATCAGCAATACAGCACCCCAAGAGATGCAGCCCAGTCTGACGCAAATGGGCTCAAACACTCTTATTTCCCTTCGTCTCATTTCGGGTAATGATTTTTTCTCAGTTCCGAAATTTTCATTATTTCAACCTTGAGATTACATTTCCCACCCGGAAAATCTTTGACTTTCATTGGTTGATGTATTACTTTAGTACTCTATTTTTGTAACTCTCCCAGGGACGTTTCTGTGATGTATTAATAAACTCGATTTGTGTGCTTGTCGACCTCATATTTCCTTGGTGCATCTAGGGTATACTTTCTACGCCATATCAAGACATCTTCCTTTACTTAGTGGGACCGTGCGACACTCGGATTAGAGTAGCTTATCGTGTCACTGGATAATTTGTCTTCGTTCTCGTTTACCGACTAAGGTGAACTCGTAATAGCATTCAAGCATATCAACTGACAAGCATAATAGTTAGATCCATCCCATGGTGCCGCCGGAATGTTGCAGAGTTCGATCTCATTCTTCAATTTCTCTTACTTGGCCATGCATATATTACTGATGGTGTGGAATTCCTATTCCACTGCCTACTCATATCAAGAATGTTGTTGAAGAAATTACAAGGGTGGAAAGCTAGTTTGTGGCGTTTTTAACCAGGTTGATGGGTTTGGAGAACCCACTTAGACTAATGATTCCAAAATAATTGTGTATTTGAACTTTAGGATCACAAAGAAACAAAAGAAGCGAGGCTGAACCTATCGTTGATCACCGGTTTTCATTCGACTGCAGCTCTTAACATTACTCCACTTTTTAAACATAGTAATCATGAATGAATAACATTGTGTTAGATCACTATTAGAAACCTGCGAGCACTGCAATATGTTCGTTTCATCCTTGGACTCATCAGTAGTGTTAGTGTGCATTCACGACTCCAGCTACTCGCAGGATTTCAACTTTCAAGATCTTCGATCTTGAACACGAACGTTTAACACCGTTGGATGCCACCCGCTCAGTGGTCCAGAGGTTAATGTCTAACTCTAAAATCAATGCAAGAATTTCGCTCACAGTCTTGATAAGTCCCATACCAGGATGAAACAGCCATCCAGTGCTTCCCAGATTTATAATGGTGGCCTAACACAATGATATAGCGAGTTGTTTTCAAGTGTCATTTTGTTATGCTTGAAACTCTTGCGAGTTCACCTTAGTCGGTAAACGAGAACATGACAAATGACCCAGTGACACGATATAGGCTACTCTGATCCATTGTCCCAACTAACTGAAGTAAAAGTCTTGATGTTGGCGTATAAAATGTATTCTACAAACACCCAGCCAGCAAACACAATGATCTCTAGCACGAAAATCGCGTTTATATATGCATCACAGAAACTTCCTTGTGACAGTTACAAAAATAGCACACTAAAATAACACATCAACCAATCACAGCCAAGGTTTTTTTGGTGTGGGAAATGTAATCTCAAGGTCAACTGATCAGCCCATGAATAAAATAAAAACATTATGAATTTTATCCACTAAGTTTCGAGGCATCTAACGTCCTCAACACATTTATCCAATGAAAAGGAAAATACATTGATATATGTGTACACATATTTAGTTATTCTATTGTTAATTCATGTTATATATTTCTCTTTCCTGTTTATTTTCTCTTCATATCGTGTAGATCAACCTTCTCCACAATTGTTTGAATCAACTAATGATCAATTTGCTGAACAATTCATGTAAGCGTTTTATTTATGATAATAAGTTGTTATTTTATTCATATATTATCTATCAATTGTGAAGGTTGATGAAGATGATAGAATTTTTCATGAAAACCTGAATATCGATTATTGCTAGACTATTATTGGACAGTTGGAAGCATACTCACTACACAGCGGTTTCGTCCTAGTGTGGGACTTATGAGCAGTGTGAATCGATAAGCCCCTGTGAGCGGTAATTGAACCTGGGACCTTCGGTCTCTCAGGCATGATTGTTCAATTGTTTGACCATTGAGTTGGCATCCAAAGGTGTTAATGTTTAACTTCAATCAATCCACCATTGTACACCCGAGTGAGCAACGCTGTTATTAGGAAACGGGTACTAGGTAAGAATGGTAGATCAATAGATGAAGTAATGAAACTTCATCAGTTGAGGTGGTTGGGACATGTGTTGCGTATGCCTAACCACCGACTGCCTCGACGAGCTTTGTTCTCTCAAATCCTAATCTTCTGGACTCTTCAACACCTCTAGTTTTGACTTTCTAAACTTTTCTCACCGAATCATGCTTCTTGAATAATATCTTCTAATCCTAACCTCTCCGATTACTTCTAATACCTTAACTATCTCTTCTACTATTGGATTTTTATTGACAATTACATCTCTGTGTTATTGTGATGGTAAGGCGACATGAACTGATGTACGAACATATGAAGTTCTACGTTGCATCTGACTGACTGACTGACTAAATCCACCATTGCCTTTAGTATGTTACTGTTCCACACACGACATAGTCGAACTCCACTGGTCACTTGCTTCTCCTACTAGAAACTCCGACAATTCCTTCACGAAGCTTTTCATTAGTGAGTAGATGATAATTTTCAGAATCTGCCTATGGAGAATGTTGAGTTTCATAGAGATCATGAACTGTACAACGGACGTCCAGTGCTTCTAGGTTTCCTGTAGTATTCTCACATTGATCGGTTCGTTAAAACTCAAAAATCTCCATATTTGGATACTGGCATAAATTTGTGACCATTTTTTTGTCTTAATATATTATAATGGTTATCCCGTGGTACCAAAGATGGCAAGACCTAAATGGTGACTCAGTGTAGGTTGTACTGTGGTGCGCGCTACTTATAAGTAGTATATGACGCGAGTGTAAATGTAATGTCTGGCAGCAGAAGATGGGGGAAGATCAAGAAACGAAGAGAGTGGGAACACAATGGAATTTGTATGAAATGCATGAATAAGTGAAATGTCAGACAATGGATTGATGATGGATTGGAGATTTGCAAATTAACCGTTTACGATATGGTTTTCCTATTTTACTACTGAGTAACTCTGTAATTTTCGTTAAATACAATTCGGTTGCACTCACCTGTGTTCTCCTTCACTACACTACTATAACTGACAATAAATAACACAACAGCATATAGAAATCAAAACACATCTGAAACGAACTGAAGAGAAATCATAGAATAAAAACTCAGTGAAACCTATAAATGAAAGATTGCATCTTAGTAGAAGTAGTGATCAATCCGGTGTTCGGTGTAATACGGTAACCTATTGAAGACAACAATTGAGATCTCTCAATACCACGGACTGATTGAAGTTCAAGATTCACTTCATTGAATGTCAACTCAATGGCCAAGAGGGGTAAGCAATCGTGTGCTTGAGACTAAAGGTGCTCGATTAGATATCAGCTTGTAGAGATCGTGGATTTGCTGCATACTAGGATGAAATGTCCGTCAGGTGCTTCTAGGTTTCTTACGGTCGTCTGACATTCTTCAGTTCATGATTTCAATAAATGACTATAACTAGTGTTATCAAACAAAGTATAAAATTCTCTATGTAAAGAATGTTTTGTACATACTATGAAGAGGCTTAGATAAGCTTAAAGAGTGCTTGTTAATACTCCGGGTTAAGATAATACTGTTGTAACGTAAAACATCATATTTTGACGGTTGATTTGCGTAACAATCAATTTAGACACGTTCATGGATTATGTCAGTCAATCAGTCACTCGGTTACAACGGAGAATTTTGTACGTACGTACTACATCAGTTCAAGTTGCTATACCACATTAGAACAGACACGCAATCATCAATTCGAATTCAATACTAGTAGATGTTGTTAGAAGTATTAATAATCACAAAAGATTAGTTGTCCAAGATATGATTCAAGAAGTATAATACAGGAATTCAGAAGATTATAATTTGAGAGAAGATAAGGAGTGAATGCACCGTCACCCTCGTAAACGATTCTGAGGCATGTCGTTCAAGGTCTCTAACCATCATTTGCTATTATCTCGCGGACCCCATTCAGGTAGTCTACACTTACCAACATGATTCGATCCACTTGTCAGTGACTTCAATGACTTGTGCCATATTTTGGTTTGGCCGCCCCTAGCTTTCTTCCAACCTACTCCTACACCACAAAACATAGCTCTTTCGAGGCAGTCGGTGGTTAGGCATACGCAACACGTCCCAACCACCTGAACTGATGAAGTTTCATTACTTCATCTATTGATCTGCCATCTCTGCTTAGTATCCGTTTACTAACAACTGCATTGCTTACTCGATAGTCTCATTATAAACGAGCAATGCTTCGGTGACACCGGGGATCGAATAACATTAACCTACGAATATGCTCTACTCTTACTCTCCATGTTGCATACCCATAGAGTAGGACGGATCGAACTGAATGCGCAGTACACTCATCCTTTAGTTAGCAAACAGATATCACACCTACGCCATAAATAACGCAAGTTGGCCAAATAAAGCCAATCGAGCCTTTTTATATGCTTGCTGAGATCTTGTCAGACATCAGGCCATCCATCATCAGTACGGATGAAACTTCTACGATCAATGAAGTGGTCGTCACGCTCTTGTATACATATTTGACTATTATTTTCTTCTCTTTAGAAAATTACTTACCTTCTATTCATAAATTTTATAATTTAACTTTACTTCTATAACACACCAATTCATATCGTGTTGTTTTTTTTGGTTACACTTTCATGCATTCAGAGAGCTAGCTAGCTAATATGTCCTGTTAACAAAAAAATATAAGGTGACACGTGGCATACCACTGAAATTTTTTTAATTACTTTTGTTTTAATGACGTTTTCTCTGTTACAATATTATTTAATGTTATTTTAATTGGTATAAAGAGTTACTCTTAAGTATGAATGTATTGCACATTTCAGTAAAAATGTGTATGCAGGCTAGATTACTTGTCAAGCATCTAAAACTAAAGCACCCGACTGAAGCTGCTACCTTGACGTGGTGGTCGGGTTTGACTATCATGATAACCCAGCCGAGCTATACTGGCTGAAAAATATGTTCCTGAAGGTTCTGCCATTCCAGGCAGGTCGATTGGAGAACGATGAGACTAAAAGCAACTACTCAAGTCTTGAGGGTGAAGTCGTACTGCTGACTGTGATGGTGGGGTGTGACAGCAGTAAGGTGTTTCCCTCGGACAAGCAGCATCTGCAGCGATGCTGCCTTCTCATAGGGAAGGAAGGGTTAGAAAATTTCGACCCTAAAAATGTCACACCTCATCCTACCTCACGGATTTCCGTCTCTGGATGTAAGGGTGCCCACCAAGGGCTTTTAGGAGCGGAGCTAATACTCAAAAACCCTTCATAAACAGGCCGTGTGTGACCGGCCTCAAGCAGTTGTCCCTTGGACTCTGCGGTCACGCTTCCAGGTCTCTAAGACCAACACTAATCTATCTTCGTTTTCAGGTTCCTCAAGAAACAACCTTCCACGGTGTGGGCGGCCGCGAAGTGACAACCGCCCTCATACTCATAACAGCACGCGAGTCCAAACTTGTCAAAATCAAATCCTTCCTACACCCCCTAATACCTCTCTTATCTCTACGACTAACTCTCCTCACATTCCTTTATCACACAGCACAGCTAATGCAAACGATGCGAGCTCACTAAACGTCATTTCTGGTCTCCTGAAACCCCGTTCTAGACTACATGTTGTAGCATTTAATGTCCGGACATTGTGTCAAATAGGGCAACAGGCTTCATTAGCTAGGACTTTAGAATCTCGCTCAATCGATGTATGCTGCGTCTCGGAAACGCGCATAAAGGATCCGAGTAGCATCATTCACTTGACCTCGCCATGTCAAGATGAAGAAGCAACTCGATTTACCCTTCGTGTATCCGGTAGCCCTGATGCTGCTTCCAAGGGTCTCGCTGGTGTAGGTATAGTATTGAGTCGTAGGGCAGAACAATCTCTCCTTGACTTGATCCCTCTAGATAGTCGTTTGTGCGCCGTCCGACTAAACGGGACAGTAAGGACTCGAAAAGATAGGGACAATCGCCGTCGCCTCTTCATCGTATCTGCCTATGTCCCCACTGACTGCAGTTCAGACGAGGTTAAAGATGAGTTTTACAGAAAGCTTTCGGACCTCCTCCAAAAAGCTAGGCGCTCTGATGTAGTAATAATGGCTGGTGACTTTAATGCTCAGGTAGGTAGTCTAAGTGAAAATGAAAGACATCGTGTTGGTAGATGTAGGCTACCTAGTTGGAGTGCGCGAGACGATAGTCACCGATGGTTAGAGACCTTAAACGGCATGGCTCATAATCGTTTGCAATGGCGCAGGTGCATCCACTCTTTGTGTTATATGAAATACTAAGCTTCGGCATTCCTCATGATCTCTACCTTTCTCCTTCTAATTTTATCTTACTGAATTATACTTCTCGAATCATATCTTCACTCCCTAATTTTCTCCATTACTGCTAATACTTGTATTATTGCTATGACTCTTGGATTTTAACTGACACTTGCGTCTCTGTGCTAATGGGGCATGGCAACCTGAACTGATGTACTTACGTACGAAGTTCTGCGTTGCATCTGTCTGTCTGTCTGTCTAAAACTAAAGCAAGGGTTTTTTTTCTTGGGATGTCACTCTTCAAACGTTCCATGCGGAGAGGTCTAATCCATGAGATAGGCCAGTAACATTCGAAGATGTGGTTTTATGCTGAGCAATAATAAGTTGATGCGCCAATTTTCCTCTCAAGATCCTTCAACCCATATGCATCACTGATTTTGAAATTAGGGTTTTACAATTCGACTATGTGTAGTATCCTTCGTACTCACTAACCCTCCGCACAACAACATCCATATAACGAGGAAGCAATGAATAGAACTTCCATGATATTCGTGACCATATGAGGAGAGTATTTGGAGAGGGAGAGCCAACTCTCACTACTACTATCGACTATATCAAGGCATTTGAGGGCACTCAGACCTTTCTGAAAGGAATCATTTTATGTAACTCATCTACGAAGCACATTAATATGTAATTAGTTTCAAAGTAACTGTTAATACTACCATTCAACTGGGTATAATACTAAGTAGTTGAGATTGGTGCAGGTGCATTCATTCTTTGAGTTCTCTCGAATTCTATCTAGTCTTGGGGATTCCTCATCCTCTTTATCTTTCGCTTCTCAAATTTATTTCACTGAATTATACATCTTGAATATTATCTTCGAACCCTAATCTCTCCGATTAGCACTAATACTTCTACTACCACTATGAGATTTGAATTGACAATTCGATCTCTCTCTGTGTGCTAATGTGGTATGGCAATGCGAACTTAGATACATACGTACGAATTTCCGCGTTGTTGTTGCTGTTGACTGACTGACTGACAATTCAAACTCAATAGTAAGTACATTCAGCCTAAAAATGAGTCATATTAAACACAGAATCAAACTTCACATAGTGAACTTTCTTTGTTAAACATCCAATCCATCTTTGTTGATAAAGAAAATTTTAAGTGAGTACAAATGTCTACATTGTTGCTGGTTGATTTTGAAATCAGTAAGATGAATCTAGTGTCACTACATCGTCGTCGATATAGTCAGCAAACTACTCTAGTCTGTAACCCGACCATAGCTGCTACTTTGACGTGTTAGTGGTCGGGCTTGCCTATCATGATAACCCAACCGAGCTATATTGGCTGGAACGTATCTTCCTGAAGGTTCTACCATGCCAGGCAGGTTGACAGGAGAACGATGAGACTATAAGCAGCCACTCAAGGTTTGAGGGTGAAGTCGTACTGCTGACTGTGATGGACGGGTGTGACAGCAGTAAGGTGTTTCTCTCGGACAACCAGCATCTGCAGCGATGTTGCCTTCTCACAAAGAACGAAGGTTTAGAAAAGGTCAACCCTAAAAGTGTCACACCTCACCCTACCTCACGGATATACGTCCTGGGCGGTAAGGGCTGCCCACTAAGGGCCTCACGCAGTCGTCCTTGGAACTCGGCGGTCACGCTCTCAGGTCTCCAAGAGCAACACTAATCTACTTTTCTTATCAGGTTCCTCAAGAAACACCCTTCCACGTTGTGGGCAGCCAGGAAGTGACATTCGCCCTCATACCCATAAAAGCACTCCTAATCTGTAAACTACCATTTCCTATCAGTCGACAATTTACTTTACATTATTAATATTTACGTGTAATTTTTTTCACTAACGCATACCCAAATGAATTTTATTTTTCTGTTTTTTAAAAAAATTAAATTTCATTCTTTATTAGCACAATAACACCGGATTTATCAAATCAGAGCAAGAACATGAATACATCACACTATAATCGTATAGGTCATTTAATAAGTCCACTTATTGACAATGAAGAAGTCATTGACGTCGCTAAAATGTCATCATCATCAACCACGACGACCACAACCACAACAGCAACATCAACATTGTTATCATCATTCCAAACATCTCCAAATAAGTTAGGTGGGACAACACCTCTTTCATCAAATGTCAATATGAATCAAGTTCGCTCGCTTTCCGGTGATCATGTTGTTAATGATGATGTGGATGACCATATAATTCAGTGTAATACAACTGACCATCCTGTCAGTATTTGTTCCACCACAGGTGACTTATTCAACGCATCATTATTGCATCAATCTTCTACTTCTACTACTTCTTCTGTACTCATGAATAAATCTTCTACAATGACAACGACAATGTCAAATCCCACAACAATCTATTCACCATGGAGGCATCGTACAGTGTTAAATCAAGCATTAGGTGGAGTAGGAGGTGGCGATAATGATGTTGATGATGATGATGGTGGTGGAGGGGCAGATGATAATGGAGTGAATAGTTCACCGGAATGGTCATCTTTTTCATTACTAAATCATCATAATCATAATCTTAATAATAATAATAAAATACGAAATACCACTCTTGTACATCAAGGTCAACTGTTCTACAATGACAATGATAACAATCATACTACTCCTAATACTACTACTGATAATAATAATAATTTATACGAACCCATTTCTAAACAAAATACTAAAACAACCGAAATAAGCCAGAAACTAGAAAATGCACAAGCAACAATAATAGAACATAATGATTATGATATTCTTGTCAATATGTTAAATCGTGTTGAAATGAAAGAAGAAGATGATTTAGGCCAATCATCATTAATTCATGAAGGACAAAAAATCAATCGAAATGATGATGATGATGATGGTGACGATGATTTCACTTTGAATCAATGTAAGTTTTTAGTGTATATATTGATTTTTTTTTAAAAAAAAGCTGTCATCTTACAAACGTACATGTTCACTGCTCCAATCTTTGTGTTTTGATTCCTGCTTGATATATATATACTTCTAATATCTGTACTACAATGGGATTTGAATTGATAGATAGTTCGATCTCTCTCTCTGTGTGTGTGTGTGCTAATGTGGGGGTATGGCCAATTGAAAGGCGGGGGGGGGGCGTAAGTACGTATGGACGAAGTTCTATGTTGTAGCTGACTGACTGACTGATGGACACCATCAGCAATAACCGACTGTGGGAGAAGAGAACAGACCAGATTCCATCGTGGGAGAAAATTAGGAAGAAGCACTGGAGTCAGTCAGATGCAACGTAGAACTTCGTACGTAAGTACATCGGTTCATGTCGCCATACCACATCAGCACAGAGATATAATTGTCAATTCAAATTCAATAGTAGTAGAGGTAGTAAAGGTATTAGACGTAATCGGAGAGGTTAGGATTAGAAGATATTATTCGAGAAGCATGATTCAGTGAGAAAAGTTTAGAGAGTCGAAACTAGATGTGTTGAAGAACCCAGAAGATTAGGATTTGAGAGAACACAAAGAATAAATGCACTGGCGCCATTGCGAACGATTTCGAGCCATGTCGTTCAAGGTCTCTAACCATCGATTATTATCATCTCGCTGACCCCAACCAGGTAGTCGACAATTACCGACATGGCTCAGTCCACTAGTCAATGACTTCATGGATTTCTGCCATGTTTTGGTATAATCCAGTTAAATAAATTTAAAAAGAGTAAATAGAGTAGTGTGAGGAATTCAGCGGATTAGAAGTTGACAGGAGACAAAGAATGGATGCAGCTGCGCCGTAGCAAACGATTTCGAACCATGTCATTCAAAGTTTGTAACAATGGGTTACTATCGTCTTGCAGACTCTATCTAACCTGGTAGTCCAGATCTACTAATATGGCTCAGTTCAGTTGTCATTGACTTCATGAATTTGTGCACTGTATTAGTTTGACCGCCGTTAGCTTCCTTCCAACCTGCTCCTTTACCACAAAATATCGCTCGTCCGAGGAAGTCGGTGGTTAGGCATACATATATATATATATATATATATATATATATATATATATATATGATAAAAGATGTAGGGATTATTAGATTACAACTAATTTGTGTAGTAAAACTGACCGTTTTACTACGAGATGATAAGGTTGTAAGTGTTCACCAGTAAAGTATCAGATTTTTTTGGTGCAATATCAATCTAGTGCTTCTTACCTTCTAATAGGATGCAAATCCGTTGGTTACGTAGTGAGTCCTCATCAGTCGAATTGGTTGGAACATGTGTTACGTATGCCTGACCACCGACTACCTCGGACGAGCGATATTTTTTGGTGTAGAAGCAGGTTGAGTGAAAGCTAGGGGCGAGCAAAGCAAAACATGGCACAAATTCATGAAGTCAGTGACAACTGAACTGAGCCATGTTAGTAGGATTGGACTAACAGGTTGGAGTCCGAGAAACGATAGCAATCGAGACCTTGAATGACATGGCTCAAAACAGTTTGCTATGATGCGAATGCGTCCATTTTTTGTCTCCTGTCAACTTCTAATCCGCTGAATTCCTCATCACGTCTATCTTTCTGTTCTTAAATTTATTTCATTGAATTATATACTCCTTGAATATTATCTTCAAACCTTAAAATTTCCGATTACTGCTAATAATACTTCTGCTACCTTTGCTACCTCTATGGTATTTGAATGGACGATTACGTATCTACGTGTGTGCTAATTTGGTGATATGGCAACCTGAATTGATGTACGTATGTACGTTGTAGCTGACTGACTGACTATTCAAACTCATTAGTTAAGTACATTCAGCCTTTGTGGTGTAGGAGTAGATTGGAAGAAATTTAAGGGGGGGGGCCCAGACCAAAACATGGCAGAAATCCATGAAGTCACTGACTAGTGGACTGAGTCATGTTGTTACATGTAGACTACCTGGTTGGGGTCCGCGAGACGAAAGTCACCGATGGTTAGAGACTTTGAACGACATGGCTCAAAACCGTTTGCAATGGCTCAGGTTCATCCACTCTTTTTGTTCTATGAAATTCTAAGCTTCTGCATTCCTCATAATCTCTACCTTTCTCCTTCTAAATTTATCTTACTGAATTATACTTTTCGAATCATATCTTTGCTCCCTAATCTTCTCAATTGCAACTAATACTTCTACTACCTTTACTACTACTATGGTATTTGAATGGACAATTACGTATCTCTGTGTGTTAATTTAGTGATATGGCAACCTGAAGTGATGTACGCATGTACGTCGTACTAACGAAGTTCTACGTTGTTGTAGCGGACTGACTAACTGGCTGACCGACTGACTAATTGACTATCCAAACTCATTAGTTAAGTATATTGAGCCTAAAAGAGAGTCAGTCAGTTGCAACGTAGAACTTCGTACGTGTGTACATAAGTTAATGTTGCCATACCACATCCTCAGTAATACTTCGACGCTTAACGAAAGCTCGTGAAGAGCAAACTCGAGAAAACCAATCTGGTTTTCGACCTGGACGTGGCTGTATAGACTACATTTTCACACTACGACAGGTCCTGGAACACAGACACACATTTAGGCGTCCTACAATAGTTGTTTTCCTGGACCTTAAGGCGGCATTTGACTCTGTGGATCGTAAGGTTCTGTGGCAGTGTCTGTCATTGAAAGGTGTACCACAGAAGTACATTAACCTCATACAAGCTCTCTACTCAAACACCACTGGTCGAGTGAGAGCTTATGGCGAACTGTCACCGGAATTCTCTACTTCAAGTGGTGTCCGTCAATGATGTCCACTTTCTCCATTCTTGTTTAATTTTATCATAGACATGCTCCTAGAAATAACCTTATCCTCGTCTGAATTTTCAGGAGTAGACCTTTTACCAGGTGGCTCGCTTATTGACTTAGAATATGCCGATGACATAGTCCTACTTGGTGAAGACGCTGACAAAATGCAGAGTCTTCTGACTACCCTAAGCAACAATGCAAGCATGTTCGGGATGCGGTTCTCACCCTCGAAATGCAAAGTGTTGCTTCAAGATTGGGTTTCATCGGCACCTGAACTAGTGATAGGGAGTGAAGTGGTCGAACGTGTAGACCGCTTCACTTATCTTGGGAGTCTCATCAGTGCTGATGGCCTGGTGACTGACGAAATCTCAGCTCGGATACAGAAGTCTCGATTGGCTTTTGCCAACCTGCGTCACTTATGGCGTAGGCGAGATATCCGTTTGCTGACTAAAGGACGAGTGTACTGCGCAGTGGTTCGCTCCGTCTTACTTTATGGCTGTGAAACATGGCCAGTGAGAGTAGAAGGTTACTGGTTTTCGATCATCGATGTCTTCGAAGCATTGCTCGTATATCGTGGGACACCCGAGTGAGCAACGCTGTTATTAGGAAACGGGTACTAGGTAAGAATGGCAGATCAATCGATGAAGTGGTGAAACTTCATCAGTTGAGGTGGTTGGGACACGTGTTGCGTATGCCTAACCACCGACTGCCTCGACGAGCTTTGTTTTGTGGTGCAGGAATAGGTTGGAAGAAAGCTAGGGGCGGCCATACGAAAATATGGCACAAATACATGAAGTCATTGACGAGTGGACTGAGCCATGTCGGTTATTGTCGACTACCTGGTTGTGGTCTGCGAGATGATAATAATCGATGGTTATAGACCCTGAATGACAATGCTGAAAACCGTTTGCAATGCCACCGGTGCATTTATTCTTTGTGTTGTCTCAAATCCTAATCTTCTGGATTCTTCAACACCTCTAGTTTTGTCTTTGTAAATTTATTTCACTGAATCATATTTCTTGATCATCTTCTAATCCTAACCTCTCCGATTACTTCTAATACTTTTACTACCTCTTCTACTATTGGATTTGAATTGACAATTACATCTGTGTGCTGATGTGGTATGGCGACATGAACTGATGTACTTAAGTACGAAGTTCTACGTTGCATCTGACTGACTGACTGACTGACTGCCATACCACATGAGTACTGAGACGCAAATGTCAAATCAAATCCCATTATGATTGAGATAGTAGAGGTATTAATGGTAAGGAAGAAGACTAGGGTTTGAAGATATTATTCAAGAAGTATAATTCAATGAGATAAGGTTAGAAAGACAGAGGTATGGTAGAGGTGCTGACGAATCCAGAAGATTAGGATTTGAGAGAGCTCAACGAATGAATGCACTTGTGCCATTGCAAACGATTTTGAGCCATGTCGTTCAAAGTCCCCAACCAGCTAGTCTACATCTGCCAACATGACTGAGTCCAGTTGTCAGTGTCTTCATGGATTTGTGCCATGTTCTGGTTTGGCCGCCCCTAGCTTTCTTCCAACCTATTCGTACACCACAAAACATAGCTCTTTGAGGCAGTCGGTGGTTGGGCATACGCCGTAACACATGTCCAAACCACCTCAACTGATGAAGTTTCACTACTTCATCTACTGATTTGCCATCCTTACCTAGTACTCGTTTCCTAACGAACAGCATTGCTTACTCGGTTGTCGCATGATATACGAGCAATGCTTCTTAAACATCTATGATCGAATACTAGTAACCTACGAACATCTACTCTCAACGGCCATGTTTCACAGCCATATAGAAGCGAACTGCTGCGCAGTACACCCGTCCTATGATTAGCGAACGGATATCACGTCTACGCCATATAGTGACTCAGGTTGGCAAAAGCCAATCGAGCCTTCGCCTAAAAGAGAGGTTTTTAAAACATAGAACGCAACTTCACGCTTTGACTTCCTTCTGCTAATAATCATCCATCAATCCATCCTTCTTTGCTTACATAATCAAATCCTTTTTAACTCACAATCAATCATCCATAGTTAATTTTTTTTTAAATTTAATTAAATGAATACACTTCTTAATTTTTCATTTATTCATTTAATTAAAATTTAGCATTCCTGAAATTGTTTTTATTTTAATTATTATTATTATTATTATAAAATAAGTTTTTTTCTTCAAAAGAAAAAAAATACTTTTATATATATTTAATTTTATTTTTCAAAAATAAAACTAGTGAAAAATAAAATTTTTTTTCTTTCCTAAAACATCTATCTTAATTAATTTGAAAAGAATGTTTTGTTTTATTTTTTCTAGAAAAAAATAATTATCAAGAAATATTGTAGTAGTAGTAGTAAGTAGTGGTAGTGGTAGTAGTGGTGACCTAATAAGACAGAGTTTTAATTGTTATTTTATTGTACTCAGTTCTCTCTCTCTCTATCAAAAAAGATAAAAGTTTTTAATGAATTTACTTGTGTGTGTGTGTGTGTTTGTCGTGGTGTTCCGTTTCTTTTGTGTGTACGGAAGGCACACAGACATACGCAGATTGAGAGAGAGAGACAGAGCGCGTGAGCGACACAAATTTAGTAATATGGTCATATATCGTCGACACGTTGAGTTGAGTTCATTGAAATGAATGTATGTATGGTGTGATTTTATTGTGTTAAATTCTGAATTTATCAATTTCAATCTTAGTTCAATCCGGAAGCCAGTTAGTTAGTTAGTTAGTCAGTGTGATAACGTAGAACTTTGGACGTATTTATATCAATACAAATTGTCATAGTACACTACCACATTACCACATTACAGAGAAATGGAATTGTCAATTCAAATCTCATAGTAGTAGAAGTTTTAGTAAGAAGACTGAGGTAGGCGCGATAGATTGTGTTGTGTAAGTCTACACTCAGAGTCAATTAAGAACGAAAACACTACATTGAACACTCTATTTGCACACCATCTTTGAGTCGTGACTTCCAACACTCCATCCTTCTTCCATTTCTGTTGTTGCTTTCTTTCCTTCCTGTTGGTAGGTACTCCATTTACTTCGTGCTTTTGCTCTATTTGCTTTCCGTTTTCCTCTTCTGACCCGTGAGACTACTTGTTTCACGTCCCTTCTTATACTACTTATATTGTTCGTATGAGTAGCACACACCACATTAGCTGTAATTCAAAAGAATCATCAGTTGAAAAAAACGAGAAAATTGGTCGTCAGGTATTCAAAAGATTAGAATTTGAGAGAAGACAAAGAATGAAATGCATCTGTGCCATTGTAAACGATTTTTGAGCTATTTCATTCAGATTCTCTAACTACAAGCTACTCTAGTCTCACTGACTAACAAACAGATAGTCTATACCTAATAATATTATCTCATTCCAATTGTCAGTGACTTACATACTTACTTGTGTGTTGATGTTCTCTATTCTTTTGTTTTCTGTGTACGAGTGAAAACGCTAGAGATACAAATTTAGTAATATGGTCATATATCGACACGTTGAGTTGAATTCATGAAATGTTAAGTTGTAGTAATACTACTACTACTACTAATAGTAGTAGTAGTTTTTGTAATTAAAAAATATTTGTACTTTTATAATGGTGTGATTATTCTATGAAATTAATCATCATCTATTTCAATATCAGTCAGCTACAACGTAGAACTTTGTACGTACATACATCAATTCAAATTGACATAGCACTACCACCACATTAGCACACAGTTATTCAGAGGTTAGGCATTCTCGCACAATACTGAAGGTCCTGGGTTCGAATCCTGCGAGATGAGTCCCACAACAGGACGAAACGTCCATCTTTCAGTGCTTCCAAGTTTCTAATGGTGGTCTAACAATGATTGATTGATTGATAATTTGAAATGTGTAAAAACACTAATCTCTATAACTCTAATTGAAAACATAGAGAAATGGAATTGTAAATTCAAATCCCATAGTAGTAGAGGTAGTAAAAGTATGAGCAGTAATCGGAAAGATTATGGTGTGAAGATATTATTCAAGAAGTATAATCTAGTGAAATAAACTTAACAAGAGAGAAAGAAAGATAAAGGTGATGAAGGACTACAGAGGATTAAGATTTGAGGGAACACAAAGAATGCATGCACCTGTGTATCTTGATGACTAAACCGAGGTACATTCGTCGGAACATGTGTTCCTTTAGGTTCTATCATGCTAGGGAGTTCGATTGGGGAACGGTAAGACTAAAGGTGACAACTTAAGGTCTGAGGGCGAAGTCATACTGCTGACTGACTGCAGAGGGGTGTGACAGCAGTAAGGTGTTCCCCTCGGACAACCAGCATCTGCAGCAATACTACCTTCTCACAAAGAAGGAAGAGGTTAGAAAAGGTCAACCGTAAAAATGTCATACCTCAACTTACCTCATGGATTTCCTTCTCCAGTGGTAAGGCTTTTTAAAAAGAGCGGACCTAACAATTTAAAAATTTTTCTCATAAAAAGGCCCTGTGTGACCGGTCTCAATCAGTTGTCCTTCGGGCTTTGCAGTCACGCTCCCAGGTCTCTAAGAGCAACGTCTATCTAAATTCCTTTTCGTGTTTCTCAAGAAACTCCTTTCTCCACGATGTGGGCAGTCAGGTAGTGACGTTCACCACCATCTTCTTAATTCCTTATCACCTAGTTTTTTGAAACCTATTTCACTGAATTATACATCTTGAATCATATTTTCGAACCCTAATCTTCTCCATTACCAGTAATACTTCTACTACCTCTAATACCACTATGTGATATGAATTGACAATTGTGTGCTAATGTGGCATAAAAACTTGAACTTAGATACTTACTTACGAATTTCTACGTTGTTGTTGCTGTTAACTGACTGACTGACTGACAATCCAAACTCAATAGTAGGTAACATTTAGCCTAACAATGAGTCTTATGAAACACAGAATCGAACTTTACATCTTGAATTCTCTTTGTTAACTATCCATCCATTTTTGCTTAAAATTAATCTTAAATAAGTTCAAATGTTGCTTCAAGATTGACTTGCATCGTACATTTGAACTAGTGATAGGGAGTGAAGTAGTTGAGCATGCTGACCGCTTCACTCATCTCGGTAGTCTCATCAGTGTTGATATCCTGGTGACTGACAAAATCTCAACATGAATACAAAAACCTCGGTAGGCTTTTGCCAAATTGCTTCGCACATGGCGTAGACGAGATAGCCGTTTGCTAACCAAAAGACAAGTTTGCTGCGCAGCAGTTCGCTCCCTCCTACTGTATAGTCAGTCATGAAGCATGGCCAGTAAGAGTATAGGACATTCGTAGGTTATGTTGGGGATGTTAGATCCCTAAAACTGGCTTGATAAATGCCTTATTTTTTTGGATTTCACGTTTGCCAGCATGGGCTGATCAATCGACCTTGAGATTTCATTCCCCACCAGGAAAATCCATGTCTGTGATTGGCTGCTGTGTATTTTAGTGTGCTATTTTCATAACTGTCCCAAGGACGTCGTTTCTATGATGTATAAATAAACGAGAGTTGTGTGCTTGATTGTGTTTTATGATTGCTGGGTGTTTGTAGAATATACTTTCTACGCTTACAAAGCCTTCTATTACAGCGTGGGATTCAAGGTAGCCTATCTGGTGGACACTGGTAATTGTCTCGTTTGCGTTTATCGACTAAGGAGGTGAACTCGTAATAGCTTCAAGCGTACCTAGTGACCAACTCAACAGGTTACTAGTATTCAATCATAGGTGTCTCCAAACGCATTGCTCATGTATCGTCGGACAACTAAGTAAGCGAACTATGCAAGGATAACAGATCAATAGATGAAGTATTGAAACTTCATCAGTCGAGGTGACTGAGACAGTGTTACTTATTATTATTATTACTATTTTATGACCAAAAATTGTTCCACATTCTTTCTTCCTATTCCTTTTTTTTATTCTTTAGATAAAACACCAGAGTTTAAATTCTCTCAATCTATTAACAATAATCCATCATTGACATTTATCAAATCTAAATCTGATCGACCTTTGTTAAACAATAAAAACTACTTACCTCATAATAATAATACTAATTATAACACTCCACAATCAACACATTTCACATCAACACCATTTGTTGTCAATAAATTAATATGTACATCAGAAGAATTTGAACAAAATACCACCGGAATAAAAGTTCCATACAATACACCTGAAAGTATTATCGATAATCATCATCATCATCATCATATTAATAACAGCGATATCAATACGACTGCTAACACTACTACTGCCACTACACCATACACTAATGAGATTGGTGGTATTTCTGGTTTCTTATCTAAAGCAGCACGTTCAGTTTATTCACGTCTCATGTTATCCTCAACATCAACATCAACATCACCATTATCTAGTTCTGTTGTTATGCAACAATTCACGCCAAACGATAATTTATTCCACACAAAACAGCAACACCAACAACAACAAACAACTAACATGAACATGACTGAACAATGTCAATCGATAAATGATCCAGTCGGATTGAACATTGAACAAGAATTGAACATTGAACAAGAAAAGCATATTGAAGGAGATGATGAACAACAACAACCACCACCATCACTACAACAACACTCTTGTTTAAATGAATCATTAATATCAAGTGAAGAAAAAATCTCACAACAATTACTAAATAATGATGAGGATGAGGATGGTGATGAAGAAGAAGCATGGAAAACAATTAGTTCAACGCATGATTTCAATAGTTCATTAGCGATATCAAGTAAAATGGATATTACAACTAATGATGGTGTTGTAGACATGTTGTTAGATAATAAGGAGAATGTAAAATGTTTACAAGACAATGAGGTAGAGTTGTTCACTTGTTTTTTGCTTCATAGAACATTTTTAAGGTCGAGCTTTTCTAACCCTTCCTTCCTTGTGAGAAGGCAGCATCGCTGCAGATGCTTGTTGTCCGAGGGAAAAACCTTACTGCTGTCACATTCCTCTGCAGTCAGTCAGCAGTACGACTTCGCCCTGAGACCTTGGGTAGCTGCTTTTAGTCTCATCGTTCTCCAATCGACCTGCCTGACATGGTAGAACCTTTAGGAACATATGTTCCAGCTAATATAGCTCGGTTGGGTCATCACGATAGGCAAGCCCGACCACCACGTCAAAAAGCTCACCAGCTGCGGCGAGGCGGATACGAACCACCGACCTAAGGATATACAGTCCTCCGATATACCAACTGAGCTATCGCCAAACATGCTTACACTGTTGCTTTCTTCTGACCACCCTAAGCAACAATGCGAGCATGTTCTGGATGCGGTTTTATCCCTCGAAATGCAAAATGTTGCTTCAAGACTGGGTTTCATCGGCACCTGAACTAGTGATAGGGAGTAAAGTAGTCGAACGTGTAGACCGCTTCACTTATCTGGGGAGTCTCATCAGTGCTGATGGCCTGGTGACTGACGAAATCTCAGCTCGGATACAGAAGGCTCGATTGGCTTTTGCCAACCTGGGTCACTTATGGCGTAGCCGAGATATCCGTTTGCTGACTGAAGAACGAGTGTACTGCGCAGTAGTTCGCTCCGTCTTACTTTATGGCTGCGAAACATGGCCAGTGAGAGTACAAGGTAACTGGTTTTCGATCATAGGTGTCTTCGAAGCATTGCTCGTATATCCTGCGACACCCGATTGAGCAACGCTGTTATTAGGAAACGGGTACTAGGTAAGAATGGCAGATAAATAGATGAAGTGTTTAAACTTCATCAATTGAGGTGGTTGGGACATGTGTTGCGTATGCCTAACCACTGATTACCTCGACTAGCTTTGTTTTGTAGTGTAGGAGTAGGTTGGAAGAAAGTTAGGGGCGGCCAAGCCAAAACATGGCAGCAATCCATGAAGTCATTGACAAGTGGACTGTGTCATGTTGGTAGTTGTCGACTACCTGGTTGGTGTCCGCGAGATGATAATAATCGATGGTTATAGACCCTGAATGACGTGGCTCAAAATCGTTTGCAATGGCGCCAGTGCATTTATTCTTTGTGTTTTCTCAAATCCTAATCTTCTGGGTTCTTCAACACCTCTAGTTTTGTCTTTGTAAATTTATTTCACTTAATCATACTTCTTGAATAATATCTTCTATCTTCTAATCCTAACCTGATGTACTTACGTACGAAGTTCTACTTTGCATCTTACTAACTGACTGACTGACTGATATATATATATATATATATATATATATATATATATATATATATATATATATATTAATGCAGTGTACTCACTAGTGACTAGCTCTTCGTGGTGAAACTCTCGGCGTTGTAGAGTGAGAGGATATGACCCAGTGTAGTTTAACCCTGTTTGAGTTTAGGTTGATCAGAGTTTCAAGCATGAGCACCGTCGGATGCCGGCTCAGTAGTTTAGTAGAGGTTATGGGTTCGCGCGCAAGACCGAAGGTGTTGTGTTGGAATTGTTGGGGACGTTAGATCCATAGAACTTACTTGATCATTGTCCTTATTTGGGATTTTATACTTTCGAGCATGGGCTAATCAGTTGACCTTGAGATTGCATTTCCCACCCGGGAAATCCTTAACTGTCATTTGTTGATTTGTTATCTTAGTATACGATTTTCGCGGCTCTCTCAAGGACGTTTCTATCATGTATAAATAAACTCGATTTGTGTACCTGTGAACCTTATATTTCCTCGGTGATTGTAGAATACAGTTTCTACTTCTCGTCAAGACTTCCCCCTCTACTTAGTGGGTGCCTTAGGACGCCCGGATTAGAGTAGCCTATCATGTCACTTGATCATTTGTCTTCGGTCTCGTCTACCGACTAAGGTGAACTCGTAATAGTTTCAATCAAGCATATCAGTTGACGATGAAATGGCCGTCCAGTACTTCCAGGTTGTGTCATAGTGTGATTACTACTGACGTGAAGAGTCATGCATCATGACTGATTTCAACTGGTTATCACTTCAGTGCTTTAGTCGTGTGATCTTCTTAGGTTATCATAATCTTTCACTTAACCTAGTGTACAGGTTTTTTTTTATAAAATGAAGCACTCATTCATGATTATGTTACGATTATGAACTGATCACTAACTACAGCCATTATTTTTAATATTACTTGAGGCAGATTACTTACACCTGTTACCTCTGATTGAGCTTAGGCCATCGACCAGCATTCTTCAATATAATCTGTCCTGGATCTTCTTTTCTAGGTTTTACCGAATCGTTGTTCAAAATGGCTTGAATTATTTTTTCTGCTTAGCGATATTTTTTAACGGAATGAGGTCGCTAACCTGTGATGCCCAACCCTTCTCTTCTATCCGGGCCTGAGACTGGCAGTAACCACAGAGAGAGGAGCCTCAGCTGGAGTTTGTATAAAAAAGCCTTGACATCAATATGATTGAATTTAGTTACAGATTAAACGACCAACTAATACCAAACATAAATGTATCTGTTGGAGACTTTAGATCCTTAGAACTCACTTGATAAATGTCCTAATTTTGGATTTTATGCTTCCACATATGAGCTGATCAGTTGACCTTGAGATTACATTGCCCACCCTAGAAACCCTTAACTGTCTTTAGTTGAAGTGTTATTTTAGTATGCGATTTTTGTGGCTCTCTCAAGGACATTTCTATCATATATAAATAAACTCGATTTGTGTACTTGTGGAATACATTCTTCTCTACGCCTCATCAAAACTTCTTACCCTAGTTAGCGAAGCCTTGGGACGGTCGGATTAGAAAGGCCTATCATGTCACTGTATCGTTGATCTTCGTCGTCCCATTTACCAGGTAAGGTGAACTCGTAATATCATTCAAGCATATCAATCGACAAGCATATCAGTCAGTTTCTGTATGCTTTTTAAAAAATTCCGCATTACACCAAGCAGTATGAATAGTCAGTCAGATGGAACGTAGAACTTCGTACGTAAGTACATCAGTTCATGTCGCCATACCACATTAGCACGGAGATGTAATTGTCAATTCAAATCCAATAGTAGAAGAGGTAGTAAAGGTATTAGACGTAATCGGAGAGGTTAGGATTAGAAGATATTATTCAAGAAATATGATTCAATGAGAAAAGTTTAGAAAGTCATAACTAGAGGTGTTGAATAATCCAGAAGATTAGGATTTGAGAGAACACAAAGAATAAATGCACCGGCGCCATTGCGAATGATTTTGAGCCATGTCATTCAAGGTCTCTAACCATCGATTATTATCATCCTGCGGACCCCAACCAGGTAGTCGACAATTACCGACATGGCTAAGTCCACTCGTCAATGACTTCATAGATTTCTGCCATGTTTTGATTTGGCCGCTCCTAACTTTCTTCCAACCTACTCCTACACCACAAAACATAGCTCGTCGAGGCAGTAGGTGGTTAGCCATACGCAACACATGTCTCAACCACCTCAACTGATGAAGTTTCACCACTTCATCTCTTGATCTACCATTCTTACCTAGTACTCGTTTCCTAACGATAGCATTGCTTACTCGGTTGTCCCACGATATACGAGCAATGCTTCTTAAACATCTATGATCGAATACTAGTAACCTACGAACATCTACTCTTAACGGCCATGTTTCGCATGCATAAAGGAGTACGGAGCGAACTGCTGTGCAGTACACTCGTCCTTTGGTTAGCAGTATGAATAGAAATCAAACAAATAGATGATTTAATTTATTTAAACAAAACCATAATTCATTCCATTCATTATTTACATTGTTCAATGTGTACAATGTTTACTTTCTGCAAGCCAGCACACCACTGATCGATTAAGCCACTTTTTGATTCTGAAATATGAATCAAGGAAGAATTTTTGTATAATCTTGAGAAGAAATGAAATCAGTTTTATTTGTGATTTCATTTTTCTGTCACATGTTTACTTAATGGTGATGTGATAGTACAAAATCATGAATCGATCAATGTTAGACAAACATTAGAAATCTGGAAGCACTGGATGAACGATTCGTCCTGGTATTGAGACTCATTAGCATTGCGCATCCACAACTTCCGCTACTTGCAGGATTCAGATCGAGGACATTTGGTCTTATGTGCCAACGCCCAACTTCTTGCCCACTAAGTCGGCAAGTCCGTATATTAATCATAGTTAGACATTCACATCGTTTGATACCTGTTCAGTGGTCAAAAGGTCGGTCAGACATTCGCGCGTAAGATTGAACTTTTTGGTTCGGGTCATGTGAGTATCGCGAGTTGTGGATACACAATGCTGATGAGTTCCATGCCAAGATGAAACGGTCGTCCAGTACTTCCAGGTTTTTAATGGTGATCCAACACTGATCGATTTATGATTTCAAAGATTCACTCAGCAATGTTCACAACCCTATCATGCAAATAGTACAGTATACTGACGACTTTGGTCGACCTATCACCAATCAAGAAACACTGTCTTATTTGTGAAATATTCAACAAATAAAGACTATATAGAGCTTTGATCAGAATAATCAATCGAACTGTTTGTTCCTCGCAGTGAAAGGAAAGTGCGAAGTTTATATACTCAGTGTCGAGCTACTCTTATGAATTAGGATTATCACTACACAGAGGTTTTGGCATAAACTCAGACTAGGTACGTCAAATTAAGCTGGAGTATTCTAAGTTTAGTTTTACAAATTCATAGTTAGGCTTCTCTACAATAAAACTGACATTATAACTATGTTGCAATACTTTGTGATTCTACTGTAGTGAATGAGAACACAGGTTGGGCAACCGAATTGTATTTAACGAAAATTACAGAGTTACTCAGTAAAATTGGAAAACCATATCGTAAATTGTTCATTTGCAAATGATCATTTCATCCTATCGAACTGGACTGTTCCTGTTGCCAAACATCAATCGATTGTCACTATTCATGCGTTTCATACAAATTCCATTGTTTTCTAACTCTTCCTTTCTTGATCTTCCCCCATCTTCTGCTGCCAGACATTACGTTTACACTCACGTCATATACTACTTATAAGTAGCTCACACCACATTACTCTTTCAAAACTGAAGAGTCTTATAGAGTTGAGTTTAAGAATAAGATTTTTAGAAAGAGAGAAACGATATTATCTAACTCTTGTCAACTAAGCACTCTTGACAATGCAACATTGTATCATAACAACTGAGTTTGTCCTGAGAATAGTTATATTTTTTTAAAATTTAATTTCAGAATCATCTTAAAACTTACTTTTCTATTTCACATAATAGAAATTTATATTGATTTCAAGCATTTTTTTAAAGATCATCATGATATTACTAATTTCTACACTAATTCGTTAATAATAACATTCAGGTCATCTATATCCACTGGAAAATACATGAGCTGTTATTCTGTTTCTCATTGTTTCACTTAAGGCTATCATCAGTATATGATTATATAAGTGTGTACCTAGAATAATGTTTGTACACTTCAATATGAGAATTTTGTTTTAGGGTCATGAACACCTAGTTTCATTAATTCACTCCTCACTGAGAATGATGTCCTCATGATGTTGTCTATGTAGGGGGTGGATGGCAGTGAATACTTCAGGAATAGACAGATTATCTTCCATGTCAAAGAAGAAAATATCTTCTAAAATAACATGTTTTTCTCTACATTTGAGCTTTCTTATCTCATTTTAAATTTAATTCACTGGATTATACTACTTGAGTAATATCGTCGAACCTTCGTTAATCTCTCCGATTACTGCTAATACTTGTACTACCTCTACGACTATGTGGATTTGAATTGACCATTCGATCTTTGTGTGCTAATGTGGTGGTATGGCCAACTTGAATTGATGTATATACGTACGTACGAAGTTCTACATTGTAACTGACTGACTGACTGTTAGGATATTCATCCCAATATACTAAGAGAATTATTTGTAAGTCTGCTGGTCAGTTCCTATTGGTCTACTTAAGTATCAATGTCACATACTTCAAATGTTGTTTCTTATTCGACCTAACTGTATAAATATGCATTATCTGTAACGTTTTATGACCCGAACCCGGATCCACACTCCGGGATCCTGATTCTCTTCTGTACTCGGACCTCATACTTTCTGGATGTTTGTAGAATACACGTTCTACTTCATATCAAGTCTTCTTCTTTTACTCGATGGGGGTTTAGGACACTCGGGTTAGGGTAGCCTGTCGTGTCACTGGATCCATTGATCCTCGTTCTTGTTCACCGACTAAGGTGAACTTGTAATAGTTCAAGCATATCAAATTGACATGTCGACGTGCAATTTTGTAACACTGACTGACTGACTGATCTCTAAATGTACCTGTTTCACTTGTTACACTTGCTTAAAACTGTTACGGCTTCATCTTAGTTGAATAACGAGAGCAAAACAATGAACCAGTGTCCAGGTAGGCTTCTATGATTCTTTGACCCAACCGTACTAGCAAGAAGTCTTGATATAGCGTAGAAAGTGTATTATACAAACACCCAGCTAGCGCACAAATCGCGTTTATTTATACATCATAGAGACATCTTTGGTACGGTCAGAAAAATAGCCCACTAAAATGACACAAGAACCAATCACAGTCAAGGATTCGCCTGGTGAGAAATGCAATCTCAAGATCAACTGATCAGCCTCATGCATAAAATCCAAAATAAAGACAATTTATCCAGTGAGTTCTAGGGATCTGACATCCTCAACAGTACCATACCACAATGATGATGATGATGATTAGATAATTGACAGAATGATTTGATTTTTTTTTATCTTGTCAATCGCTCTCTCTCTCACTTGTTTTTTTGCCTTCTTCAGGTTATTATTCTACATGAAACTACTGAAAATGTCAATATTAGTAGTATTAGTAGTAGTAGTAGTGGTTGTATGAAACATGAACCTAATTTATCACCATCATCGATTACGCCGCGATCACCGTTGAAAGAATTATGTAATCATTTGAAAGAGAATGCTTCCGTGAACAACGATGTCATAACACCCGGTGATTTTAGTAATAAACAGTTATCACAGGCTGCCACTACTGTTCATACTACTGCTACTACTGCTGATGCTGTTGCTTCTTCACCGAAATTGTCCACTTCAATTGACGATAATAATCATCATAGCAGTAGTAGTAGTGTAGTTGAACATGTTGAAAATATTGAATTAGAAAAACAAGCATTACGTGATGAAATAGTGAGATTTAAAAATGAAGCAGATTTATGGAAGTAAGTATCAATTTGGTGAGTATATTATTTTTTATAAGTGGTTAAGGTAGGTTGCTCTTACTCTCACCTGTTTTCTTCCATCTGTTGTTCGACTTGTAGTGAAGGAGAACACAAGTGAGGGCAACCGAATTGTATTTAACGAAAATTACAGAGTTACTCAGTAAAATAGGAAAAACTATATCGTAAACGGTTAATTTGCAAATCTTCAATCAATCATCAATCCATTATTGTCTGACATTTCACTTACTTATTCATGCGTTTCATACAAATTGCATTGTGTTCCCACTGTTCTTCCCTTTCTTGATCTTCCCCTATCTTCTGCTGCCAGACATTAATACGTTTACACTCACGTCATATACTACTTATAAGTAGCGCGCACCACAGACTGGATTATGAAGATGTCAAAACATGTGGTGGGAAGCATGGGATACAGTGGACAGATAGGATTTAGACTTCACAGCCTCAGCTGTAGTAGGTTTCAACATACAACAAGGGAAAAAGGCAAGCTTCTTTCCGATAAAACACAACATGCACTAACCAAATCACACTTGATAGAAGAGCTTCAGAGAATGTACATATCGAGGCAGCATCTTTGATGAGCAAGGTGGATCTGGTGCAGATGTGAAGGCAAGAACAGCATTTCGTGTCAATTGAACAACATCTACAGTTCAAAACAACTATCAACCAACACTAAAGTCATAATTTTCAATACAAATATCAAAACAGTTCTATTGTATGGAGTGGAAAGTTGAAGAACTACAAAAGTCATCATCCGAAAGATACAGGTGTTATTTAAGAGTTGTCTACGAAAAATATTTCGGATCCGTTGGCCAGATACTATTTGCAACAACCTACTGTTGGGAGAGAACAAACCAGATTTCAGCGGAGGAGGAAATCTGAAAGAATCGGTGGAAGTGCATAGGACACACTTCGAAAAGCACCCAACTGCGTCACAAGATAAGTCGTCACTTGGAATCCTCAAGGACAACAGAAAAGGGGGAGGCCAAAATACGTATTGCGCCGAGATTCGGAAGCAGACATGAGATGAATAAACAGCGATTGGGTAGAAATGGAAGGGAGGAAGACCGAGGACAGAGTGGGTTGTGCTCACTATCGCGTTTCAAGCACTAACCATTCGTTCTCATCCTCTCATTTTCATAAACAACAGCTCACCACTCTGAAAAGCCAGTGGGTTGAACTTCCGTAACAGTGACTATATATATATACAGGTGACAAACCATATGAGAGTATTTAGAAAGAGAGATTGAACTCTTCTCATTCCTTATCGTAACAAGGTATTTTAGGTCAATAATAACAGTAGTAATTATAATGCTTTTTCCCATTCATTTTCATATGTTTCATTCAGACAGTAAAAAAAGAGTTGGTCTCAACGCAATATATTCCATATTACAGCAATCCTATTTTACAAACATTAAATGTATAGATGGATAGTGGGTTAGGAGTGATATCTTCTAGGACAAGAGACCTACCTACACTACGATTACCTACTTCTATCACAACCATTGCCACAATGTCATTGATATAAGCTAGCCAGTTGATATGCTTGAATGCTATTTTGAGTTCATCTTACTCGGTAAACCGCGTTAAGATCAATGATTCAGTGACACGATATGTGGTGTGAGCTACTTAGAAGTAGTATATGACGTGAGCGTCAACGTAATGTCCGGCAGCATAATATGGGGGAAGATCAAGAAAGGAAGAGTTAGAAAACAATGGAATTTGTATGAAACGCATGAATAGTGACAATGGATTGATGTTTTGCAACAGGAACAGTCCTGTTCGATATGATGAACTGATATTTTGCAAATGAACGATTTACGATATGGTTTTCCTATTTTACTGAGTAACTCTGTAATTTTCGTTAAATACAATTCGGTTGCCCCACCTGTGTTTTTGTTAACTACAGATAGGCTATTCTAATCTGATTGTCCAAGACCCCACTACTTAGTGTAAGAAGTCTTGATAAGGTGTATTCTACAAGCAACCGGAAAATACGAGGTTGCTAAGCACAGAAATCAAGCTTATTTATATATAATGATAGAAACGCCTTTTGGAGAGCCACAAAAATAGCGTACTAAAATAATCCATCAAGCAATCACAGTCAAGGATTTTTTGAGGGAAAAATGTGAGCTGAAGGTCAAATGGTGCGAAAATGCGGAAATTCAAAATTTCAGCATAAATTTGCAAAATTAGGACGTCTCCAACAGTCACAGATCGTAAAATTGAAGAGAAATGATGATATTGACGGCTTTTGAATTGAGTGAAGCGTGCTTTCTTGATTTCAATGTTTATCTCCTTTTACTTTGTACTATTTTAATTCATGATTACAGTTGTTTAATTAGAAACCTCGAAGTAGCAGTCGACCGTTTAGTTTTAGTATGCAGCTCATCAGCGGTGCATATCCACAACCTCTGTTCACGGGAATGGAACTCAGAACCTTCGGTCTGATGCGCGAACATGTAACCCCTTGACCACTAAGCCAACGGTGGAAATGTTCCATTTCAATTAATCCAAGGTATGGCGCTACTTCATCCATTGCCTCCGGTGGGTAACTGCATCATATCAGAAATAATTGATCTCCAGTGGTCCTAATTTCTCACTAGCTCTCATGAAGGTAGTCACTAGTGAGCACATTATAATTGTCATTACAGGGTTGTGGAAATTGGTAAGTTTTATTGAGACCGAAGGTCCTAGGTTTGATTCCTGCGTTCAGGTATCATATGAATGCCCGCTGCTAATGATTCTTACAGTTGGACAAAACGCTCACCCAGTGCTTTCAGGTTTCCTGATTGTTATGCCTGCATGTAAACATGTAAACTTGATATACTTGAACTATTACGAGTTTACCTAGTCGGAAAACGAGAGTGAGGGTCGAGGATCCGGTGACACGACATACTACACAAATCCAATTATCCCAGCCCCCCCCATAATGAGTAAAAATAAGAAGACATGATGCGAAGTAGAACTTGTATTCTACAAGCATCCAGAAGGTACGAGGTCCGAATCCAGAAGGAAATCACGATCCCGGACTAGGGATCCGTGACCGAGCCCTGGTCCTGGTCGTGGTCATAAAATGTTACAGATAATGCGTATTTATACATTTTGGTCGAATAGGAAACAGCATCAAATTCTGTGGCATTGACAGCTAAGACAACTAATAGGAAGTAACATTTGAAGTGACAACCAATAAGAGACAACATTGAAGTATTTGACTTTGACAGTTAAAACGACCATAATTTTGACCAATAGAAATCGGCCAATAGGATTTGACCAATAATTCTCTTAGGATATTGGATGAATGTCCTAACACTGATGATCGTTTGTTTAACAATGATCGATTTCAATGAAAAACACAACAATCTCCATAAATAATAGTTAAACTAATCATTTTTTGTTTATTGACCCCTTTCTGTCTCTCATTCAGATCAATACTCAATGATTATCAGTCTACTTATGTAGAAATGGAAACAACACTATCCGAGTGTGAATTTCTCGAAACTAAGAAGTTGATCAGTTTAATTGAAGAACGCAATGAAGCAATAGATCAAGCGAAACGTATGTTAGCTGTTTATCATGACATGATGAAACGTGTTGAACGTGCACAAAATGTATTACAATTTGCAAAAAATGTTAGTTTTTATTTTATACACTTGTTTTTATTACATTTTTAAATCGTGAATTAATCATTTTTAAACACTGGATGACTGTTTTGTCCTAATCGTATGGGACACATTAGTTAGTGGCAGTGCGTATCCACGACTCCTGCTACTCGTTGGAATCGAATGCAGGACCTTGGGTTTTATACACGGACGATTAACCTTTTAGACCACTGAGCCGACGGCATTCAACAGTGGTAATGTGTAGCTTTGGTCATCCATTGTCGTCAAGTTACTATACCAATATATAGTACAGTGAGATGAAATTGTTAGTTCAAATCCCATAGTAGTAGTAGTAGAGGCAATAGAAGTATGAGCAGTAATCGGAGAAGATTGGGATTCGAAGATATTATTCAAGAAGGATAATCCAGTGAATAAGGGCAATGAGGAATTCGGAAGATTAGAATTTGAGAGAACACAAAGAATGGATGCATATGTGTCATTGCAAACGATTTTCAGTCAACCAGATAGTCTGCACTTAATAACATGGCACATTTCAGTTGTCAGTGACTTCATGTTTTGGTTTGGTCACCCCTAGCATTTTTCCAACCTATTCGTAAATCGCAAAACAGCTCGACAAGGCAGTTAGCAGCTGGGCATACGTAACACATGTCCCAACCATCTCAACTGATGAAGTTTTACTGCTTCATCTATTTACTGATTCGCGATGCTTAACTAGTACACGTTTCCTAACAACTGCATTGCTTACTCAGTTGTTCCAGCATATAGGAACAACGCTTTGGTGTCACCAGTAACCTACGGATATCCTCACTCCTTACTGGCCATGTTCCACACCCACAGAGTAGGACGGATCGAACTGTTCCTTTGGTTAGCAGATGGATATCCCACCTACGCCATAAGTGACGCAAGTCGGTTAAAGCTTGTCGAGCCTTGTGTATCCGTGATGAGATTTCATCAGTCACCAGGCCATCAGAACTGATGATACTCTCAAGATAAGTGAAGTGGTCAATACGCTCAACCACTTTACTCTCTATCACTAGTTCAGGTGCCGATGTAACGTAATTCTGAAGCAGTGAACTCGTTCTTTAGTTTGCGAACGTATATTTTGTCTACGCCATAAGTCATGAAAGTTGAAAAAAAACAGATTTTTTTACCACAACACCTTAATCTTTCAGCAAGGTGGATTAGTAGCTAGCAGTGGAGTTCAGCACGCTTGTTTCGTCTTATTTGGGACTCGTCAGCTAGCTGGGGTATATAAGTGAATCTCAGATTTTTATTATAATCATGAGCTGCTATTCTTGTGACAATTATTATAAAATTATGTTATGGGCAAATGAAACGTAAACCAGTGGGTGGTCCATCCCAGCTAACTAGTATACAGCAAGAAGTCCGAAGTCAGCATAATTTTTTACAGTAAAACCAGAGCACCCTTGGATAACTTACATAAAGCTGACCAATGAGGTTTCAGGGTCGTTTCAAGTAGGAAATCGAACTTGTCAATGATTGGTTCGTAATCTTTGTTGTTTTTGATTGAGTGTGTATAATACATTGCATACTTCGCTTGTCAAATGCCTAGCCTAATCGTGTCTGCTTAGTCATCCCTCACTGCATGGAGTTGGCTCACTCGCCTTTTCCACTTCGCTTTGCTATGGTTTGATTTTACGCTTTTACTCCTCATGTTTGTCTGCATGAACGATTGCGTAAAATAAACTCATCTCAAACTGAATATGTAATTTGGTTTCTGATTATCGTCATCACACATACAGTATTCACCTAAGTATGATGTATGGATATTGGAGGAAAGATTTATATCACAAAACATTTCTAGACATCCGTCTAAATTTTAGTCAGATGATCACTCTGGCCAATAAATTGGTTGAAACTTATTTTGAATTTGAACGCTGTCACACAAACGACATTGAAAACATTTTATTAAACTGCTCAATGTGGGCAAATTTTGACAAAGTCACTTTGGTGTCAATCAAAAATCTTCTGCTAATTATAATCTGATCCTTACTTACGCTTGTTACCCTCAAAGAAGCATCGGGCGCCTATCAGTATTCTCCAGACTACTCTGTTCGGGGCCTTTCTTTTCTAGTTCTGTTGAATTGCTGTTCATTCTTCTCATATCAGTCTACAATACGCGTCGTAATATGCTTCTCGGCCTTGAGGGTTCCAAGTGAATGCTTGTCTTGTGACGCACTTGAGTGTTGTTTGCAACAATTTGTGTCCTGTCCACTTCTAGCGTTTCTTCCTTCACTTGAATCTGGTTTGTTCTCTCCCACAGTAGATTGTTGTTGATGATGTGTGGCCGACGAATCCGAAGTATTTTGCCTAGAAAATTGTTAATAAACACCTGTATCTTTTGGATGATAGCTTTCATAGTTTTCCAAGTTTCGACTCCATACAGTAGAACTGTAATTAACATTGTATTGAAAATTCTGACTTTGCTGTTGGCTGATAGTTATTTTGAATTCTAGATTTTGTTCAATTGTTCAATCGCCTTCACATCTGCATCGGATTCACCTTGATTGTTAATGATACTGCCCAGATATGTAAAGGTTTTAACATCCTCCAAGGCAACTCCATCAAGAGTGTGATTTGGTTGGTTGGTGCGTGTTATGTTGTATCGGAGGAGAATCTTCTTATTCTCCTTATGTATATTGAGATCTGTTGAGGCTGTTTACTCGATATGTGTTGACTTGCTTGCAACATTCTATACGACATTGAATTAGTTTTTATGAAATGTTTTTGTCATATAGTAAATATTGAAGAATGGTACACATATTTTAGTGATATAGAAATTGTAGTGTGTGCTGTGTATTGTGTTACAAACTTTGAATGTCATGGTTCAAAATCGTTTGCAATGGTACAAATGCATTTCATTTTTTGTCTGCTCTCAAATTCTAATCTTTTGAATTCCTCACCACTTTTTTTTCACTGAATTATACTTCTTGAATCGTATCTTCGAACCCGAATCTTTTCCATTACTGTAGTGAACGAGAACACAGGTGGGGCAACCGGATTGTATTTAACAAAAATTACAGAGTTACTCAGTAAAATTGGAAAACCATATCGTAAATCGTTAATTTGCAAAATATCAGTCCATCATATCGAACTTGACTGTTCCTGTTGCAAAATATCAATCCATTGTCACTATTCATGCGTTTCATACAAAACCCATTGTGTTCTTCTAACTCTTCCTCTCTTGATCTTCACCCATATTATGCTGCCGGACATTACGTTTACACTCACGTCATATACTACTTATAAGTAGCTCGCACCACACTACTACTTTGAGATTTGAACTGACAATTCAATCTGTGTGTGTGTGTGTGCGTGCTAATGTGGTATGGCAACTTGAACACTGATTTACATACGCGCACGTGGGTACATTCGTACATACAAAGTTCTCCTTATAGTTAACCTCATCTAAATATCTGTTGTGGATGTTAAATCCCCAAAAACTCGCTTGATAAATGCTTTAATGTTGGATTTCACGATTTGCCAGCGTGGGCTGATCAGTTGACTTTGAGATTTCACGTTTCCCACCAGGAAACTCCATGTCTGTGATTGGTTACTGTATGATTTTAGTGTTCTATATTCGTAACTATCCCAAGCACGTCGTTTCTATGATGTATAAATAAACGAGAGAGTTTTATGCTCGATTGTACTGTATTGTGATTGCTGGGTGTTTGTAGAATATATTTTCTGCGCCTACCAAGCCTTCTGTTTTACAGTTTGGGATTCAGGATAGCTTAACCTGGACGCTGGTTCGCGTTTATCGACTAAGGAGGTGAACTCGTAATAGCTTCAAACATGGCACTAGTGACGAACTCAACAGTTTACTAGTATTCAATCATAAGTGTCTCCGAACGCCATTGCTCATGTATCTTAGGACAACTGACTAAGTAATGTAGTTGTTAGGAAACGAGTACTAAGGTAGCCGCAAGTAGAATAAGTACTAAGGTAGCTCCTACCGGGACACTGGTTCGCGTTTATTGACTAAGGAGGTGAACTCGTAATAGCTTCAAGCATGACAACTGACCAACTTAACAACAGGATCCTTTATCGATTTATTGATTGACTGATTTTTCTCATTTTCAGAAACAACACTCATTAATTGTCTGTTTGGATAAAATTCGTGCACAATTAATAACAGTAGACGAGAATTTGTCTCATTATTTCATTCAAAGCCATGAACAACAACCACAACATCAACAATTAATCAATGCTTTGTTGAATCAAGATAAACAAAATGAATTGTATGATAGGAAATTGAATCAATTCACTTATGAATGTCGTCAAATGGATATGCGTATCTTATCATTAAGTGAAGAAATGAAACAAAAGGTTTGTTTAATTTTTGTTGTTGTTGTTATTGTTGTTGGAAGGATTGGATTTTTGACTGATTTGGTTGCGTGTGTGCTGTCAGTGGGTGGTAATGAGGGTGAATGTGCCTTCTTGGCTTGCTCACACTGTAGGATAGGTTGTTTCTTTGAGGAACCTGAAAGGGAAGGTAGACTAGCGTTGGTCTGAACGACCTAGGAGCGTGACCGCAGAGTCTAAGGGACAAATTTTTGAGGCCGGTCACGCACAGCCTTTTTATGAAGGGTTTTTTGAGTAATAGCTGTGCTCTTAAAAGCCCTTAGTGGGCACCCTTACCGACGGAGACGGAAATCCGTGAGGTAGGGTGAGGTGTGACATTTTTAGGGTCGACCTTTTCTAACCTATTCCTTCCTTGTGAGAAAACAGCGTCGCTGCAGATGCTGGTTGTCCGAGGGAAACACCTACTGCTGTCACACCCCTCCACCACAGTCAGCAGTACGACTTCGCCCTCAGACCTTGGGTAGCTGCTTTTAGTCTCATCGTTCTCCAATCGACCTGCCTGACATGGTAGAACCTACAGGAACATATGTTCCAGTCAATATAGCTCGGTTGGGTGAGCACGATAGGCAAGCTCGACCACCACATCAAGGTAGCAGATACGGTCAGTATTTTTGGTGACATTTTGATATTTCTAAAAGCGAAATCATGAATCGATCAATGTTAGCTGAAAGCACTGGACGGTTGTCATCAATGGCAATACACATCCATGAGTCCGCTCACGGAAGTCGAACATGGAACTAGCTCTGTGAGAATGATATGAAGTAGAACGTGTATTCTACAAGCATCCAGAAAGTACAAGGTCCGATTGTAGAAGAGATTCAGGATCCCGGGTCCTGGTCATAAAACGTTACAGATACTGTGTTTTTATACAGTTAGGTCGAATAGGAAACAACATTGAAGTGTGTGACTGTTAGGATATTCATCCAATGTCCTTAGAGAATTATTGGTTAATGCCTATTTGTTAATTCCTACTGGTCAATTTTATGGTCATCCTAGATATCAATGTCACGTACTTCAATGTTGTTTCTTATTGGTTGTCCTGACTATCAATGTCACCTCAAATGTTACTTCCTATTGGTCGTCTTAACTGTCAATGTCACAGACTTCGATGCTGTTTCTTATTCGACCAAAATGTATAAATACGCATTATCTGCAACGTTTATTGACCAGGACCAGAGCTCGGTCCCGGATTCCTAGTCCGGGATCCTGATTCTCTTCTGGATTCGGACCTCGTACTTTCTGGATGCTTGTAGAATACAGGTTTTACTTCATATCAAGTCTTCTTATTTTCCTCAATATGGGGGTTGGGATAATCGGATTTCAGTAACATGTCGTGTCACCGGATCCTCGCTCTCATTTTCCGACTAAGGTAAACTCGTCATAGTTCAAGCGTATCAAGTTGACGTGTTTACGTCCAGTCGTAACAATGACGTTGATAGTTAGGACAACCAATAGGAATTGACCAATAAAATTAGACTTACAAAAAATAATTCTCTTAGGATATTTGATGAATATCCTCTTAACCATTTTATTAAAAAAGTACAATATTAAATACCTTAAATTTCCCTCTCTTTCTCTTTCTCTGTATGCTTGTTTATCTACAATCTGGACCTGTCGGTATTAGGATCTACAAAATACTGAATTGAAAACAATCAAAGATCAATTACTTTCATCACCAATTCGTCAAAGCTCAACTGGGAAATAAATAAAAAGAAGCTACTTTCGTTTTTCACTTCTCTTCTAAGAGTTTTTGGCCGAAATTAAAACACCAGTAGTAGTAGCAGTTTTGCATTTCTCTCTCTCTCTCTACACACACACACACACACAACATTGAATTTACTCACCATTTTTCTATTCACCACTAGATTGAATTTGGTTTTCGTCCAAGAAATCAAAAGAAAAATACACTTTAGCATTTAAACTGTTTGGTGTTTGTGGTTATACCAAGTTTTTTTTTCTCGGTTAGGGATTGTAGTTTTATGTTTTTTACCTGTCTACCTGACTAGCCCCTCAACGCTGTTACCCTTGTTTATCACACTCTATAAAAAACCGCCAACCTTGAAACCATAAAGATTCAGTGTTATTTTTTATTATAGAAAAGATTTCTATTTACATGTTTTGTTTATTATTATTCTTATTTTATTTTAAAATTAAATAAAAAAAATAATAGGTTTCATAAAATTTATGTTTTGTTTTGAGGTTGTTGTTGTTATTAAGGAACTGGGTGCTAGCTAGATTGAGAATGTCAGATCATGCAAACCTGTGTCAGTTGTGGCGTAGGTGAGATATCTGTTTGTTAACCAAAGGATGAGTGTACTGTGCAGTAGTTCAATCTGTCCTAATGTATGGATGCGAGACTTGACCGTTAAGACTAGAAGATGTTCGTAGCTTACTAGTATTCGATCATCGATGTCTCCGAAGCATTGCTCGTTTATCCTGGGACAACCGTGTGAGCAATGCTGTCGTTAGGAAACGAGTTCTAAGTAGGGATGGCAAATCAATAGATGAAGTAATGAAACTTTGTCAGTTGTGGTGGTTGGGATATGTGTTTCGTATATATGCCTAACCATCGAGTGCATCGACGAGCTTTGTTTTGCAATGTAGGAGTAGAATGGAAGAAAGCTAGGGGCGGCCAAACTAAAACATGGCAGAAATCCATGAGGTTCATTGACAAGTGGACTGAGTGATGTTGGCAGAGGTAGGCTACCTGGTTGGGGTCCACGAGACGATAGTCACCGATGGTTAGAGACGTTAAACGACATGGCTCAAAATCGTTTGCAATGGCACAGGTGAATCCACTCTTTGTGTTCTGTGAAATTCTAATCTTCTGGATTCTTCAACACCTCTACCTTTGTCTTTCTAACCTTATCTCACTGAATCATACTTCTTGAATAATATCTTCTAATCCTAACCGCTCTGATTACTTCTAATACCTGTACTACCTCTTCTACTATTGGATTAGAATTGACAATTATATCTCTGTGCTAATGTGGTATGGCAATATGAACTGATGCACATACGTACGAAGTTCTACGTTGCATCTGAATGACTGTTTATTTATTGGGATTGGTTGTGTTACGCTCGTCTCTAGGTATGCTTAAAACTATTACGGCTTCACCTTAGTTGAATAACGAGAACAAAATGATGAACCAGCGTCCAGTTAGGTTACTGTGATCCGACTGTCCCAAATGTACGAGCAAGAAGTTTTGATATAGCGTAGAAAGTGTATTCTACAAACACCCAGCCAACACACACAATGAATCCAAGCACTCAAATTGCGTTTATTTAAACTCTTTACAGACATCTATGGGACAGTCACAAAAATAGCACACTAAAATGATACAGTAACCAATCACAGTCAAGGCTTTTCCTGCTGAGGAATGTGATCTCAAGGTCAACTGATCGGTCCATGAAATAAATCCGCAATAAAGATATTTATCAAGCGATTTCTGGGGATTTAAAATCCCAAACGGATGCCAACTACCATAATTGGTGTTATTTGATTTGTGTGGTAATAAGCAGTGTGTACTTTGACTAGATTTTGTAATTTAAACTCGCGTCCCAACAATCGTTACTTTAAAAATAACACTTGAGACGGTTGATAAATCAGAAGGTAAACGCGAAGGATCGAATTCGTTTATTTCTGTACACTACAATTAGAACAGCAGACCACAGGCACACAAAGAAGGTCAAGCACGCTAGCGAATGAGCGAATCGTCGAATGAATTAATAAGATTAAAATGTTCATTTATATATTCATAGGAAAATGTCTGAGTCATTGAAAAATAGGATGAATATACACGTAGGCGGTAAGCAATATTCAGTCGTACACCAGTTCATACAGACCAGACAATAATAAAAGCCAATGCTACACATATAAGTTATTGCTTTACAAATGGCTTGGTTAAAAATAAGTTAGTCGAAAGATTTAACCAAACTGTATGTGTGGAGGCACTACAGATTGATGAGTTCGGTGGACGAATCCAGAGTCGATTTTTTCTTTCTACATGATGATACCTGATGGAGCTAATTTTTGAAATCATAAATTGATCAATATTAGATTGTCGTTACAAACCTAGAAGCACTGAATGGTTGTGTCGTCTTGGGATGGGACTCATCAGTGACAGTGCACATCCACGAGTCTTGCTACTCGCAGGATTTTTTAGCTCAGGACTTTCGTCTTACGCGCGAACGCCTAACCTGTTGACTACTGAGGCCGATAATTAACGGTGTTAACGTTTAACTTCGATCAATCCACGAAGGTTTTGCGTAACCTTATTCACTTTCTCCGGTGAGTTCTGCTTCACACCCGAACAGGTTTGATCTGCACTGGTCACGTGATAGAGTGTAATATTTTCCTTTAAATACTTCATTTCAAGCTCATATATTCATTCATCAAAACTAAATTTTTTATTCGTCATTTGCGTTACCATCCGGAACTCTCCGATCAATCACTAGTGCTGTACATTCCTTTGATGTTTGCCTCCGATTCCGGTTCTTTAGTCTTCCTCTCGTAATTTTGCCTCGAGCATTCCCAGTTAGGGTTTGTCTTGAACGATTTCCGCAATGTATACTCTATCCACCACCAAACGCTCTCGCCTAATTTCCTTTACAGCTGGAAGCTGGTTTGTTCTCTGTCACAATAGATTTTGTATTCACGTAAACAAGTATTACCTTACTAAGAATAGAAATTACTATATATATATCCGATGTGTACTTACTACACGACGATATTCGTAGATTACTGGTTTTCGATCATAGGTGTCTCAGAAGCACTGATCGTGTATCTTGGGACAATGCTGTCGTTAGGAAACCGGTACTAGGTAAGGATGGCAGATGAATAGATGAAGTGTTTTTTTTTTTCAATTTTCACTTTCAAGTGTCTTGGATGTACACTGCGCTGATGAGTCTAATACTAGTAGGATGAAATGGCTGTCTAGTGCTTTCAGGCTTTCTATGCTAGTGTAACATTGGCACATAAAGAAGGTCAAGCACGCTAGCGAATGAGCGAATCGTCGAATGAATGAATTAATAAGATTAAAATGTTCATTTATATATACATAAGAAAATGTCTGAGTCATTGAAAAATAGGATGAATATACACGTGGGCCGTAAGCAATATTCAGTCGTACACCAGTTCATACAAACCAGACAATAATAAAAGCCAGTGCTACAATGTTAAATCATCATGAGAAACTCTGGAAGCACTGGATGGCTGTTTCTTTCTGATATGGGACTCATCAGTGCCAGTGCACATCCATGACTCCTGCCACCGGCAGGATTCAAACTCAGGACCTTCAGTCTTGCCTACGAACGGCTTAACCTCTGAACCACTGAGCCGGCGGCATTCAGTGGTGTTGATGTTTAACGCCGATCATTCTAAGGATTTCGCTCAACTTCACTCATTGGTTTCGGTAGTTACTGCTTACACCCGACAGGGTTGGACTCCCCACTGGTAACGTCTTTTCGCTCTAGAATGTCCTCACGAATCTAGTCACTAGTGAGCACATTTTATGATTTTTCAACGTAGACTTATGGAGATTGTTGTTTTTACACATCGAAATCATGAATGAATCATTGTGTTTGACGACCATTAAAAACCTGAGAGTACTAGACGGCCGTTTCGTCCTGGTAGGGTAGGGGGCAATCATTAGCAGTTCATCTTTCATTCGATATTCAGTTAGTCATAACGTAGAACTTCGTACCTATGTACATCAGTTCAAGTCGCTACATAACCACATTAACACAGAGATATCAAATCGTCAATTTAAATCCCACAGTAGTAGATTTAGTAAAAGTCTTAACAATAATCGGAGAGATTAGGGATCTAAGATATTATTATTCAAGTTGTAGAATCTAGTGAATGAAATTTAAAAACAGCCAGATAAAGTTGATGAAGAACTAACTCCAAAGGTTAGGTAGGATTCGAGAGAACACAAAAAAATGAATGCACCTACGCCATTGCCAATTCACTGTTCTAAAAAAGGTTAACCTTCCACGCGAAAAACAAACGACGATCTTGGGTTTGATTTTCACTTTCAAGGGTCGTGGATGTACACTGCGCTGATGAGTCTAATACTACTGTAGTGAAGGAGAACACAGGTGAGGGCAACCGAATTGTATTTAACGAAAATTACAGAGTTACTCAGTAAAATAGGAAAACCATATCGTAAATCGTTAATTTTCAAATCTTCAATCGATTGTCTGACATTTCACTGTTCATGTGTGTCATGCAAATTCCATTGTGTTCCCACTCTTCTTCCTTTCTTGATCTTCCCTCATCTTCTGCTGCCAGACATTACGTTTACACTCGCGTCATATACTACTTATAAATAGCGCGCACCACACTAAGATGGAACGGCTGTCTAGTGCTTTCTATGCTAATGTAACATTCATCGGTCAGTGTGTGTGATTTTAATCAATTAGTGTGTAGTTGAAATGTACATACACATACATAAATGCTGTTGTGTGGTTTAAGCGCATCCAGAAATACATTTTCCTTAAAAGAAGTTTACTTTAGCGACTTGACATCAAGTTTATCGTTTATAATTCTTTTAATGTGACATTTCTAAAATACTGTTCAACTATATTACTTATAAGTAATCAGTCTATTATAATATAATATTTAATCCTTCACATGATCGATATCCATCAAATAATAACGTGTTTCCATTTCATTGGTTCATATAACTAATGCTCTTAATATCATCATTAAGTTCCAGTATGTTTTTTGGGTGAAGGATCTGTTAAGTTTGTTTAGTTTTAGCAACTTCGAAATGAGTTCATCATCTTGTGAATGACTAATAGTTCTCGGATTATGATACGATAATCGATAAACAATTACACATTTGAAATGATCTTCAATCAATCATTGTTAGACCACCATTAGAAGAAACCTGGAAGTACTGAAACACCATCGTTTCGTTCTAGTATGGGACTTATCAGTAGTACGCATCCACGACTCCTGCACCTCGCAGGATTCGAACCCGGGACCTTTGGGACTGTGCGCGAACGCCTAACCTATGATGGTCTAACAATGACGATTGATTGATGATGATTTCAAATGTGTAAAAACACTAATCTCCATAATTCTAATTGAAAATAATCAATTATTTTGAAATATAACACAAACCAGAAGTGTCGCAATTCAAATGAAACGAACAATCCTAACTATCTACATCGGATAAGTAATCAAATTAGTTAGTTAAGAGGATGGATGAATGCAGAATCTGAGACAGGTATGTATCCATCCAATATATATATATATATATGTATATGCATAGGCGCGGTTGAAGAAAGCAAGCATAGCATTTCTACAATTGAACAACATTGGCAATTCAAAACGAATATCAAAATAAACACCAAAGTCAGAATTTTCAATACAGTATTCTGAAAACCGGAGCAATCATTCATTTAAGTACAAGGAATGTTTGCAACGGCTACTAACGGTCGCAAGCCCGGATAAAGGAGGAGGGGTTGGCGCCCCCATCCCAACTATAAACTAACTTGCCAAAAAAAAACGCTAACCAGAAAAAGTAAATCAAACCATTTTAACTCTGCTCTGGGAGTCGGAAGAAGAATTATGACGTCTCGTTATGAAGGACGAGTTCCTTCGGAAGTCATGAGGCCGATGCCTCTTCTGACAACCAGAGCAACCATTCTTTTAGGTATATGGAACGTTCGTAAATTGTGGGAGACTGGAAGACTATTTCAAGTTGCTGCACAAATTAGAAGATAAACCTGGAGGTGCTCGGCATCAAGGAAACGCATTGGACACAGGTAGGACAACTGAGACTAGCTAGTTTCAGTGGATCTGCTGTTATACTCTGGTCATGAAGAGGAAAATGCTTCACATACACAAGGAGTTGCGCTGATGCTGGCCAAATAAGCACAAAAGGTATTGATAGGATGGGGATCTCACGTACCCAGGATCATTAAAGCATCTTTCAAAACAAAGAAAGAGGACATTACAATAAACGTCATCCAATGCTATACCACCTACCAAGGACACCCGAATGAGCAACGCTTTTATTAGGACACGGGTGCTACGTAGGAATGGCAGATCAACAGATGAAGTAATGAAACTTCATCGGTTCAGGTGGTTGGGACATGTGTTGCGTATGTATGCCTAACCATCGACTGTCTGGACGAGCTTTGTTTTGTAATGTAGGAGTAGGTTGGAAGAAAGTTAGGGGTGGCCAAACCAAAACATGACAGAAATCCATGAAGTCATTGACTGAGTCATGTTGGTAGGTGTCGACTACCTGGTTGGGGTCCACGAGATCATAATAATCGATGGTTAGAGACCTTGAATGACATGGCTCAAAATCGTTCGCAATGGCGCCGGTGCATTTATTCTTTGCGTTCTCTCAAATCCTGATCTTCTGGATTATTCAGCTCCTCTACTTTTGACTTTCTAAACTTTTCTCACTGAACCATATTTCTTGAATATCTTCTAATCCTAACCTCTCCGATTACTTTTAATACCTATACTACCTCTTCTAGTATTGGATTTGAATTGACAATTACATCTCTGTGCTGATGTGGTATGGCGACATGAACTGATGTACTTACTACATACGAAGTTCTACGTTGCATCTGACTGACTGAATGACTACAGTGACAACGATAAAGATCAATTCTACGAAAAGCTGCAGTCCATTGTCGACAGATGTTCACCAAACGATTTGACGATTTTAATGAAAAACCTAAATGCCCAAAGTTAGCATGGACAACACTTGATATGAAGACATCATGGGACGACATGGACTAGGAGAAAGAAACGAAAACGATGAGACATTTACAAACCTCTATATATGCCTTCAACAAACTAGTCATCGGCGGCACAATATTCCCACACACAAACGCATACATAAAGCTAAATGGATTTCACCGGTAGCATCCACGGAGTATTTAGAAGAAGTAAAAGTAACCAATCATTATTATTATTACAAAAAACACACATATCATAGAAAAAAAAGAAATTCACACTTTTCTCTCTCTATTCAATATAATTAATTATATTGTGATCGCTATTGTTTTCGATTTAATCTCCATATATCCGCGGCAAATTGAAATGTATTCAAATTCCATTGTTGATTTAATTTTAATGAATTCATTAAAGGATTCCATAATTGATCAAGCAGAGTTAGAGTAGATTGTAGAAATTCAATATCTATGAAAAAAAAAACAGAGAGAAGAGATGGATGCGGAACAAGATATGAAGTCTCACAATTGTTAAAATATTATTATTGGATATTGTGAGCCAATCAAACGTGGGCAAATGACAAGGTTATTTGATAGGATGGATGCATATTATTGGTCAAAAAATGGACTTGTTCTCTAAGGAATAGGGATTTGTTGCCTTGTCATTCAAGTAGTGAGTTTCATGGGGTTGAGTAAGCACTTATCACGTTAAGATTCGGTACATCGCACACTATCCCGACCGTAGCTGCTACCTTAACGTGGTGGTCAGCCTTGCTTGTCGTGATGACCAAACCGAGCTATACTGGCTGGAACATATGTTCCTGCAGGTCCTACCATGCCAGGCTGGTCGATTGGAGAACGATCAGACTAAAAGCAGCTACCCAAGGTCTGAGGGCGAAGTCCTACTGCCGACTGTGATGGAGGGGTGTGACAGCAGTAAGGTGTTTCTATCGGACAAGCAGCATCTGCAGCGATGCTGCCTTCTCACAAGGAATGAAGGGTTGGAAAAGGTCGGCCCTAAAAATGTCACACCTAACTCTACCTTACGGATTTCAGTCTCCGTCGGTAAGGATGCCCACTAAGGGCTTTTAAGAGCAGAGCTATTACTCGAAAAACCCTTCATAAACAGGCCGTGTTTGACCGGCCTCAATCACTTGTCCCTTGGACTCTGCGGTCACGCTCCCAGGTCTCAAAGGCCAACACTAATCTATCTTCATTCTCAGGTTCCTCAAGAAACAACCTTCCACGGTGTGAGCAGCCGGGAAGTGAAAACCGCCCTCATACCCGTAACAGCACGCGAGACCGAATTGGTCAAAATCAAATCCTTCCTACACCCCCTACCTTCCTTCCTCCCTACACCCCTACCTCTACTACTATTGGATTTGAACTGACAATTACTTCTCCAGGCTGATGCGGTATGGCGACATGAACTGATGTACTTACGTACGAAGTTCTACGTTGCATCTGACTGACTGACGTCGTACACTATAACATTTTTACAATCTAAGCGTGAAGTAAATCTCCCTTTAATATCATTGACTATGATAAATACACTGATCGATGAGTTCAGTGTTATTGGCTTATGAATTGTTCAGTGTGAACATGTTTAATTGATCTATAAGTAAAATGAAATATAGTGTTAAGCATTCACGTCAACATGTGTATTTGATACGCTTGAACTATTACAAGTTTGTAGTGCCTTACATCTAACTTGGTTAAGCCGTTTCGATTAATTTTCATTTAACCAAGCCATTTGTATTGCGAGAAACAATTTATATGTACCATTCGTTCTTATTATTGTCTGGTTTGTATGAGCTCACATGACATGTCCCACTTGTCATTTGACCATGTCAATCATTCGTCACTTTTATTCATGTGTGTGCACCCCTATTTCGCTTGTCATATGTCTGTCTTATTTTTGTCTGACTATCTATATTCTTAGTCATGCTCTATCTCTTTGAGTTGGCTCACTAGCCTTCTCCAATTCGCTTCGCCCATTCGTTCGCATTGTAACCCATGCAGTTGGCTCAAAAGCCTTTTCCAGTTCACGTCGCTTCATTCGTTTTATTCAATGCTTCTCCGCTTCGCTTTGTGGTGTGTCCCAAATAAACGTATTCATCACTACGAATTCATCTTCTGATTTATAAATCGTCAGACACCATTTGGCAACGATTGTCTGAACGAGTTAATTACCGAGCTTAAGAACACGCAGTAAATCGACACACTACAAGTTTACATTGGTCAATAAACGAGAGCGAGGATCAGGCGACACGATAGGCTACACTCTAATCCGATTATCTCGATCCCCAACTGAATGAATGAAGAAGACTTGATATGAAGTAGAACCTGTATTCTACAAGCTATCCAGAAAGTATGAGGTCTGAGTCCAGGAGGGAATCAGGATCCCGGACTAGGGATTCAAGTCCGGGTCATAAAACGTGACAGATAGTGCGTATTTGTACAGTTAGGTTGAATAAGAAACAACATTTGAAGTACGTGACATTGATAGTTAGGACGACCATAATATTGACCAATAGAATTTACACTTACAAAATAATTCTTCGTAGGATAGTTGGTGAATTATCCTAACACTTAGGCAAATACATTTTTACAAACTTAATATTATTTATAATAATAATTATTATTATTATGATTACTATTACCTATGACTATATTAATGTTTGTTCAGTAATCTAGAATTGACTCAAACAAATAAACATTGATTTCAATCAGAATGTTGAAATAATGGAGAAAATTTGTAGTTCACATGGATCAGTATGGTGGTGTTTTGTTCTCCGAACTGGATGAATGTTTTGGTTGTTTAGAGATTTCATTGTTCTTCTTCTGAACAACCAACCAATCAGGAATATCAAAGGGCAACATCAACAAAACAGATCAAACGGGGAAGGGATATACAATCGAAACAAAACTGCAAACAGTGACAGGTTTGAGGAACAATAGCAGCCAATCAAGATTGAGGTTAACAGAACAAACTACAGGTCATACGACGTGGAGAAATCAGTTAGTCAGCTATAATGTAGAACTTTGTACAGTACGTGTACATCAGTTCAAATTGCCATACGATCACATATTAGCACACAGAGAGATCGAATTGTCAATTCAAATCCACATAGTAGTAGTGTAGTGAACGAGAACGCAGGTGGGGCAACCGGATTGTATTTAACGAAAATTTCAGAGTTACTCAGTAAAATTGGAAAACCATATCGTAAATCGTTCATTTGCAAAATATCAGTTCATCATATCGAACTGGACTATTCTTGTTGCAAAACATCAATCCATTGTCACTATTCATGCGTTTCGTATAAATTCCATTGTGTTCTAACTCTTCCTTTCTTGATCTTCCCCCATCTTCTGCTGCTACACATTAACGTTGACACTCACGTCATATACTACTTATAAGTATCTCGCACCACAGTAGAGGTAATAGAAGTATTAGCGGTTCGAAGATATTATTCAAGAAGTATAACCCAGTGAAATAAAGATAAAGGCGATGAGGAATTTCAAAAACCAGAATCTGAGAGAATACAAAGAATGGATATTACTACACCATTGTGAACAATTTTCAGCCATGTCATTCAAAGTCGCTAACGATCGGTTACTGATGTCCCGCGGACACCAATCTGGTAATAGTCTACACCTACTAACATGGCTCAGTTCAGTTGTCAATGATTTTTCATGGATTTGTGCTATGTTTTGATTTCGCTACTCCTAGCTTTCTTTCAACTGTTTATCACGAAATACTCGTTTTTCAATAGAAATTCAAACTTCTTTGTAACTGATGACAAAGTAATCTGAAACAGAACAATGGATTTATGTAGCTTACTTTGTAAAGTTTACTATTTTACATGAAATAGATAGAATTTGGTTAGAAATGAAATCCATCAGGTGTGTTTTATTCTATTTGGAACTTGAACCTAGTACCCCATTCACTTTAAACGCCATTGTCCTATCTATTTAGCTAGTTAGTTAAGATAACTACTCACTCACTTATGCATTGGACAGCTCATATATACTAAACAAGACTGACCGAGATTCAGTCAAAATATCTTTAACAGGATAATTCAAATCGAATTATAGTTTACTATTTCCGTTTAAAAATTCAAACAAACACCAAAGTCACAATTTTCAATACAAATACTAAGACAGCTCTAGTTTATGAAGCGGAAAATTGGAAAACTACCAAAGCCACCAACCATCCACAAGATACAAGTATTTATGAACAGTTTTCTACGCAAAATACTTCGGATTCGTTGGTCAGACACCATCACCTACAACCTACTGTAGCAGAGAACAAACCAGATTCCTTCAGTGGAGGAGGAAATCAGGAAGAAGCGGTGGAAGTGGATAGGACACACACTACGAAAAGCACCAAACTGCATCACAAGACAAGCCCTCACATGGAACCCTCAAGGTGAAAACAAAAGAGGAAGGCCAAGAAACACATTACGCCGAGAAATAGAGAAAGATATGAGAATAAACAAAAATTGAACAGAATCGGAAAGGGAAGCCCAGGACAGAGTTGGTTGGAGAAAACTGGTGGGTGGCCCATGCTTCATTAAGGGTAACATGCGTAAGTAAGTAAGCAAGTAAAGTCTGTCCTTCATTCTCAGAGGTGACTTGAACGTAATTAATTTGTAGTGGTGATCTTAGTCAACCATGACTCGTCATTCCACTCTACAGAAAACATGTTTATTTAAAATGAATCAATCATTAAGCCATGACCGATAATCATGTTTTATCAAGTGCTTTATGAGTGTTGATCAAAATTCTATCGGTCAAGTTGATTTTTTTATTTATGACAAAAGATATAAGACGTGATTGAACTTAAATTTACATATAAATAAGTAATCAATATATATTGATTTACTCCACTGTTTGTTATTAAATCAACAGTTAAAAACGTACTAACTGAAGAGACTAGTTTTTCGTTTAAACGTAACTACAATAAATTCAATTTTCCAATATAAACGTATGATGTGGAAACGTGGAAAATTACATAAGTCATCAATCCAAAATGTAAACGTGTTTATCACCAGTTACGTAAGCAAGATACTGCATATCTGTCGGTCAGATACCATCAGTATACAACTTACTGTGTGAGAGAAGAAACCACGAGTTTCAAGAGCGGAAAAAAAACGCTGGCAATCACATAACTTGCATTACGGGGTTGTGAAGATTGTTAAGTTACACACTTTTGAAACCATGAATCGATCGGTGTTAGACCACCGTTAGAAATCTGGAAGCACTGGAAGACGGCCGTTTCGTCCTGGTATGGGACAAGTCAGTGGTAGTGCGCATCCACGACTCCTGCACCACACAGGATTTGAACCCAGGAACTTCGGTATTGTGCGGGGTGCAGGAGTCGTGGATGCGCAGTGCCACTTACGAGTGCCATACCAGAACGAAACGGCCGTCTTTCAGTGCTTCCAGGTTTCTAATGGTGGTCTAACATTGATCGATTCATGGTTTCAGGAATCACATAACTGCATCATAAGATAAGCTCTCATTTGGAATCCTCAAGGTCAAATGAAAAGAGTCAATCAATCAATCAATCAACAGGAACGTAGAACTTCGTACGTACGTACGTACATCAGTTCAAGTTACCATACCACATTAACACAGAGATGCGATTATCAATTCAAATCCCCCATAGTGACAGAGATAATAGAAGTATTAATGATAATGAAGAAGATTAGGAAGGTTCGAAGGTATTATTCACGAAGTAGAATTCAGTGAGATAACTTTAGAGAGAGAGAGAGAGAGAAAGATAGAGATGATGAAGAATTCAAAGGTTAGAATTTCAGAGAACATAATGAGTGAATGCACCACTTGCGCCATTGCAAACGATTTTGATCCATGTCATTCAAGGTCACTATCATCTCGCGGACCCTAAGCAGATAGTCAGAAATGAAAAGAGTATGACCAAATAACACATTATTCTGAGAATCGGAGACAGCCATGGAAGGAATGAATAGAAGAAGACCCAGGAGAGAATTGGCTGGCGAATTTCTAGTCGGCAGAAAAGAGTAAGTAAGTAAGTAAGTAAATAAAAGAAGTTCGAAATATGACTTTATTTTGAAAATAGTTAAATGTGTGTTACTTCGAACGTATGAGTAAAAATGTTGTATTCAGTATAAAATATACTTATTTTAAGCCGAATTCAATTTTCAGTAAATGTATAGAAAACTATTATTGATTTTAATATAAACAAATATAACTTACAATTTTTTGCTTCAATTATATTCTGAAATATTTTTTGAGTTGATGCCGTTTTCAATGGATACTGTATAAAGAGGAAGAAGAAGAAAGATCTAACTTACATTGTAATTCGAAACTTATATGTGCACGAAACTACAACAATACACATATAGGATAGAATTGAAGAGTTTTAAGTCTCTCAACGACCCGGCCGTAGCTGCTAACTTGACGTGTTAGTGGTCGCGCTTGTATATCGTGATGATCCAATCGAGCTATATATAATGGCTGGAGCATATGTTCCTGAAGGTTCTACCATGTCAGGCAGGTCGATTGGAGAATGATGAGACTCAAAGCAACTACTCAAAGTCTCAGGGTGAAGTCGTACTGCTGATTGACTGTACAGGGGTGTGACAGCAGTAAGGGGTTTCCCTTAGATAAGCAGAATTTGCAGCGATGCTGTCTTCTCATAAGGAAGGAAGGGTTAGAAAAGGTCGGCCCTAAAAATGTCACACCTCACCCTAAAGATTTCTGTCCTCGGCGGTAAGGGGTAGTAAACAAGAGCGGAGCTAATAGTTTAAGAATTTCTTATAAAAAGGCCGTACGTGACCGGCCTCATACAGTTGTCCCCTGGGCTCTGCGTTCACGCTCCCAGGTCTCTAAGACCAACACTAATCTATCTTCCTTTTCAGGTTCCTCAAGAAACAACCTTCCACGGTGTGGGCAGTCGGGAAGTGACAACCGCCCTCTTATCCGTAACAGCACACGGTCCAAGAGACGCTAGTAACTGATAATTACACAGACTCTGAATCATGAATGACATGGCTTAAAATTGTTTGCAATCCCACAGGTACATCCATTCTTTGTATTGTCTCAAATTCATTTCACTGAATTATACTTCTTGAATTATATGACTAGTACATTAGAGTAAACATTAAGTATATGCCCATGATAACTAATTTGTACTTTGGTTTTTTGTCCTATTAAATAAAACAATGATATTCTTGTCTTGTTAATGTTTTCTATGGTTTCATATGAGATTTTCATCTGATTTCTTTGTTTGGTCAATTTTCTAACAAGTGTTCAAACATGTGTTTAATAAAGTATGTGTACTGCACACATGAACTGGATACCAGTTTTTTTGAAATCATCAATCAATCATTGTTAGACCACCATTAGAAACCTGGAAGCACTGGACGGCCGTTTCGTCCTAGTATGGGACTCCTCAAGTTTCTAATGGTGGTCTAACAATGATTGATTGATGATTTCAAATGTGTAAAACGCAAACCTCCAAAACTGTGCCCCAAAATACCAATATTTTCGTTTTAAATTGTCCGATTGATAACTAACTGTGTCATGATATGAAATTAAATTTTTATTCATATAACTTTTAGAATAAACTGGTAATCATTGGTTTTCATTGAATAACAACATCAATCATACAGTCACTTAAATGAATCAACTATGTTAACTAGTTATGGTGCTTCGTTCTCTGAGCTGGATGTTTCGGTTATGGAGCTGTTGTTGTTCTTCTGAACTATAACATCATCAGCACAAACTTCAGATAGAAGAAGTGAAATATTCGAATTTCTCCATGTAGTATGACCCTTAGTTTGTTCTGTTAACCTCGATCTTGATTGGTTGTTGTTGACCTTGAAAACAACGTCATATTTAAGGTCAACAGCTACCAATCTCAAGATCGATGTTAACAGAACAAGCTACGGGTCATACTACATCGAGAAATTCAAATATTTCACTACTTCTATCTGAAGTTTGTGCTGATGATGTTATAGTTCAGAAGAACAACGACAGCTCCACAACTGAAACATCCAGCTCAGAGAACAAAACACCACAACAATCATCCAGATAGGCTATAAATTTTCTCCACCATTTCATGTTAACAACTTGTTATTTGTATTTGAATATCAATAGCTTTCATCCAACTGTAAGAAAACTCAATTATATGGAAATATCATGATATGTAGACTCGATTTTCAGAGGTTCACATATATTGACATTACTACCGGTCAAGATGTTCTTTTGATCTTACACAATCAATAAATGATGACTAATTTTTTCGGGCACAGTTTTGGAGGTTTGCGATTTTTTACACATTTGAAATCATCAATCAATCATTGTTAGACCACCATTAGAAACCTGGAAGCACTGAAAGACGGCCGTCTCGTCCTGGTAAGGGACTCATCAGTGGCAACACGCACCCACGACTCCTGCCCCTCGCAGGATTCGAGCCCGGGACCTTTGGCATTGTAGGCGAACGCTTTACCACCGGACCACTGGGCCGCCACCTGACGGTGTTAATGTCTAACTCTGATTGATCTAGGGATTTTGCGCGACCTCATCCATTTGTTTTTGGTAGTTACTGCCTACACCCAACAGGGATGAACTCCATTGGTCACGTCTTCTCAACTAGAACTCCGAGAATTTCCTCACGAAGCTAGTCACTAGTGAGCACTGTTACAATATTTTGGGGCACAGTTTTGGAGGTTTGCGATGGTAAGGCGTTCGCCTACAATGCCAAAGGCCCCGGGTTCGAATCCTGTGAGGTGCAGGAATCATGAATGCGTACTGCCACTGACGAGTCCCATACCAGGACGAAAAGGCCGTTTTTCAGTGCTTCCAGGTTTCTAATGTCGGTGGTTTAACATTGATCGATTCATGATTTTAGAAAGACTATTATTCATAAATTGACTGATATCACATTTGTCTCAGTCAGTCAGCTACTACAACGTAGAACTTTGTACATACGTACGTACGTACATACAGTTCAAGTTGCCGTACTGCCATCACCACATTAGTAGTACACAGAGAGATGGGATTTATCGATTCCAAAGCCGCCCATAGCGGTAGATGAAGTATAGGAGATGATAAAGAATTCAGATGATTAGAATTTGAGAGAAGACGAACAATGGATCCACCTCCGACATTGCATATCATTCAATGTTTGTAACTATCGGTTACTATCCATATCGCTGAGCCCAATATGGTGAAATGACTAAAATTGGTCATGTAAACTATTGGATGGTCAATCTAATGATCTGAAAATTAAACACCTACACCTTAGATCACGGAAATGTTTAAAGTTCAATCTCAGGCAAAGAAGTCTGTGAATGTTCATTGATGAAAAAAAATTCTCCTACTGAAAAACAATGATTCCTAGTTGTCATCATTGATTGTCTAATCGAAAACTAGTTCATAATGTAACCGACAACATTAATTACATCAACACTCTAACCTTTACTATGAATGTAATCAATTCCACATGAAACATAGCTTTAAGTTGATCCAAAGGTTTGGAATCAGAAAATAAAATAATATACATTGTCAATGGAACATTTGTGTTGCCTAAAAAATGTAGGAAAAAACAGACAAGAACACACAGTTTTAACTAAACTATTGTTTTATGGCGGCAAATTTATAATATATCTCTGCCTGAATAAATTTTCATTGAAACCATGAATTGATCATTGTTTGACCACTAATACTGGGAACCTGGAAGCACTCACTGGACAGCTGTTTCGTACTACTAGTATGGGACTTATTATTAGCAGTGTGCATCGATGACTCCTGATACTTGCAGGATTCTAACCCAAGACCCGACCGTAGCTGCTACCTTGACGTGTTAGTGGTCAGGCTTGACTGTCGTGATGATCCAACCGAGCTATACTGGCTGGAACATATGTTCCTGAAGGTTCTACCATGTCAGGCAGGTCGATTGGAAAACGATGAAACTAAAAGCAGCTACCCAAGATTTGACGGCGAAGTCGTACTGCTGACTGTGATGGAGGGGTGAGACAGCAGTAAGGTGTTTCTCTCGGACAACCAGCATCTGCAGCGATGCTGCCTTCTCACAAGAAAGGAAGGTGTTAAAAAGGTTGACCCTAGAAATGTCACACCTCACGGATTACCCACTAAGGGCTTTTAAGAGCGGAGCTAATACTCAAAAAACCTTTCATAAAAAGGAAGAGCGTGACTAGCCTCAAGCAATTGTCCTTTGGACTCTGCAGTCACGCTCCCAATTCTCTAAGACCGTCACTAATCTACCTTCTTTTTTTGAGGTTCCTCAAGAAACGACCTAGCCTACAGTGTTGGCAGCTGGGAAGGCACATCCACCTTTGTGTGTTCTCGAATCCTAATCTTCTGGATTCTTCAACCCTTCTAGTTTTGTCTTTCTAAACTTATCTCACTGAATTATATTTGTTGAACATCTTCTAATCCTAACCTCTCCGATTACTTCTAATACCTTTACTACCTCTTCTACTATCGGATTAGAATTGACAATTATATCTTTGTGCTGATAAGGTATGGCAACATGAACCGATGTACTTACGTACGACGTTCTACGTTGCATCTGACTGACTGACTAACCCAAGACCTTCGGTCTCATGTGGGAACGCTTAACCTCCAGATCATTGGGCCGATATCCAAAGGTGTTAATGTTTAACTCTGATCTATCTAAGGATTTTGTGCCACTTCACTCATTTGTCTTCGGTAGTTACATTTCGCTCACTAGTTCTTGTGAGAAGACGTGACCAGTGGAGGTCAACTTTGTCAGGTGTAAGCAATAACTACCGAAGACAACAGGTGAAGTTGTGTAAGATCTTTAGATTGTTCACAGTTAAACATTAGTATCGTTGGATCTCGACTCATTGGTCCACAGGTTAAGCGTCCGCGAACAAGATCGAAGGTCACGAGTTCGATTCTTGCAAGTTGCGGGAGTCGTGTATGAGCGCACTGCCACTGATGAGTCGTAAATCAGGATGAAGCGGCCATGGAGTGTTTACAGGTTTCTAATGTTGGCCTAACACAATGATTTATTCATGATTTCAATGTAAGAAAAATATACAATAAACACACCATTTGTTCATCTTCCCTTAAAATCCCAGTGGTTCATCAACTAAATCATTCTTGATGGAGATGCCTTGGAGGACGTTAACACCTCTACATATCTGGGCAGCATCATCGACAATCAAGGTGGATCGAATGCAGATGTGAGGGCGCGGATCGGCAAAGCAAGGGCTGCATTTCTACAATCGAACAACATCTGGAACTCCAAACAGATATCGATCAACACCAAAATCAGGATTTTCAATACAAATGTCAAGATAGTTCTACTGTATGGAGCGGAAAGGTAACATCCAGAAGATACAAGTGTTTATTAACAGTTGTCTATGCAAAATACTTCGGATTCGTTGGTCAGACACCATCACCTACAACCTACTGTAGGAGAGAACAAACCAGATTCCAGTGGAGGAGGAAAGCAATTAGAAGTGGTGAAAGTGGATAGGACACACACTACGAAAAGCACCAAACTGCGTCACAAGACCAGCCCTCACATGGAACTCTCAAGGTGAAAGGAAAAGAGGAAGGCCAAGGAACACATTACGCTGAGAAGAATGAACAAAAACTGGAGAGGGAAGCCCAGGACAGAGTAGGTTGAAGAATACTGGTCGTCGGCCTATGCTCCATTGGAGGGTTACAGACGAAAGTAAGTAAGTAAGTGACTGAACCAACTGGGAAAAATCAGTCAATCATGCTTTTGCATTGTAATTTCAAATTAATTAGAAAAGGTCTGTAGATAATGATGAAATTCAAACATACTGAGAGTGGCACTGAATTAAAACATCGCCCACCTCGATTATATATGTCGAAATCGATAAAATCTACCAGCCAATAAGAAAAATGATAAACAATTACAAAGTCAAAGGTTACATGATTGGCGGTGAGGACGTTCATTGTTATGTCCTGTTTCTTTGTTTTGAAGGATGGTTTATTGATCCTGCATCCATGAGATTCCCATCCGATCAGTGCCTTTTGTGCTTGTTTGGACACCATCAGTGCAACTCCTTGTGTATGTGATAAGTTCGTCACTTAGTATGCTTGAGGCTATTACGAGTTTACCTTAGTCGATAAACGCGAACGAGACTTTGACCAGCTTCCAGGAAGGCTACCCTGAATCCCAGAATCGAAATAGAAGACTTTGTAGGCGTAGAAGTATATTCTACAAGCACCCAGCAATCCCAGTACAATCAAGCATACAACTCTCGTTTATTTATACAACATAACAACGTCCTTGAGACAGTTAAGAAAATAGCATACTAAAATACACTGTAGCCAATCACAGCCATTGATTTTCCTGGTGGGAATTGAAATCTCAAGGTCATTTGATCAGCCCATGCTGGCGAAACGTGAAAACCAAAATACGGCATTATCAAGCGAATTTTGGGGATCTAACATCCCCAACACTCCTCCCCTTTTTAATAGCGTGTTCTCCTGGGGTCGACTTGCATCTTGACTATTGTTCGCCGCTGTCTGAGGGGATACCTTCGGGAACGAAGAACAGCTTGCTGCTGAGTTTCTTCTCGTGGCGGGGCTCTCGGTAGGTTGAAGGTATCAAGCAAGATGTCAAGTGGAAGGCTTTCTGCTCTTGATGGGCGATCTGGGGCTAGCCGTCTGCGTATCTGATTGCGATGACGTGACCATTTATCACCTCCTACCTCTACTTCGTACATAACTCGACCAACCCTTCTGACCACTCTCGCTTCTACCCAAGGACCATGGTTCGTTCTGTAGTCGCGGGCAAACACAGGGCATCCCACCTCGTAAGCGGATTGTCTTTGCTGCTTTGTCTCTACTGATGAGGGTGCATTGGTTGGATGCATCAGGCTGTGGATTGTTTTCAATCTTCTTCCCATCAGGATTTCAGCTGGGGACTTTTGCTCCGGTAACAATTCATTTGGTGTTGTCCGATAGACGTACAAGAAATTTTGTAATGCTTCGGCTGGCGTCCCCTCCCCTTTTGACTTGAGCAGTGCTCTTTTAAACGTATCCACAAACCTTTCCGCCTGCCCATTCGATTGCGGGTGGTATGGTGGCGAGCGTAAGTGTTTAATAGCTAGCCGTTGACAGAAATTCTGGAATTGGGAAGAGGTGAATTGAGAGCCATTGTCGGATACGATCACATCTGGTATGCCATTTCGTGAGAAAATTTCAGTTAGGAGCTGTATAGTCTTAGTTGTAGTGGGCGGCATAACGGGGCTGATTTCCGGCCATTTAGAAAAGGCGTCGACGACAATCAAATACATAGTTCCATTTATTGGGCCAGCGAAGTCGACATGTATCCTGGACCAAGGATTCTCAGGTTTGGGCCATGAAACCGGCGGAATTTTGGCATTCATCTTTGCCGCCTGCTGACACCGGATGCATTTTTCAACCAACGCTGTGACATGTTGATCCATGCGAGGCCAGTATGCATAACTCCTGGCTATGGACTTCATTCGTTTAATCCCAGGATGACCAAGATGGAACTGTCTCAGCACTTTTGCACGAAGGGATTCTGGCACCACTACTCTTTCACCAAACATCAGACAATCGTTCACGATGCATAGTGAATTCCGCCGCTGATACAGTTGCTTGATGTCACCTTCAAACTTTTTCGACGGCCAACCGTTAGTGACATATTTCATCGTCATCTTGATGATGGGGTCGTTTCTAGAAGCATTTTGTATGTCTGTTGCAGACATCGGTAATGCGCGAACTGCGGTTGTCAGATAACATTCTGCGTGGTTCTTCGTATACGCTTCTGGGTCATGTCGTTGTGATACCAGGCTGCATATGGTATTTAGCGGGACATCAGCCAATTTTAGCTGGTCGAACCAATCTAAACCAAGTAAATTTAGATCAGCTGGCGTTATATAGCATACCCCAGTAAACGACGAATCTCGGAAAGCAACTTTACATTCCAATTGTCCTAACAGACGAAAATAATTACCACATGCTGTACGAGGCTTTTGTGTTGTGTGCTGCAGGCTTGGGCTGCCCAATTTGGTCCAATTTTTGCGTGAGAGGATAGTGACATCAGATGCAGTATCTATTTGCATTCTACACAAATAACCGTTAATATTAAGAGTAATAAATTTCCTCTCACCTGGTGATGAGCTTTGGCAGGAAGATATTAGGCTCAATGCATTGGTACTGGATCTAGGAACAGGCTTCTTAGCACTTCTGGATCGCTTTGGCTTTTTCTGTAGGCAAAAGCCATCTTTATGATCGATGACTTTACACTTCCTGCATCTATGCTGCCTAAATGGGCAGTTCCGTACATAGTGCCATGAACCGCAGTGCCAGCAAGCAGAAGGTGGATTCATTTTGGGTTTTTGGGCCGAATTGGAATTTTTCTTTTCACTAATGGAATGCACGTATGATGAGAGGCCCTTGTTTTCGACCATGGAGGTATCATGCCTCAAGTTTACTAATCTCTGGCACTCTGCAGTTATTTCTTGAAGCGAGATGTTTGGGCACTGTTCAATTTTACTTAGGATTCTGGTTCTTATATCAGCATCGTCGGGAGATTGTAAGCTGCACCCAAACACAAGGCACTTAAACTGATCTTCCGTCATTGATGATAATTTAAATCGTTCGCATTCACGATTTACTAAGCCAGCATGCTTTACCCAGTCATCTTCATTTGACTTGATTATTTTGAGGCATTGATAACGAATATTAAAGAGAGATGACTGTTCAGAGAAGGTTTGCGACAGCGTATCAATTGTAGCATCAAAAGAGAAATCTCGTGGGTTCTTTGGGAGGATGAAATTACTATAACGTTCGTGTACGATTGTGCCGAGCTTTCTCAAAAGGATTCTGACTTTGGTGGCGTCATCAAGATTGTTGAGGTCGACCTTGAACAAATCCTCATACTTCTTAAACCAAGAATCGAAAGTCACACCAGCAAGGCCATCAAAATGAAATTCATGAATGGAATTAACTATCGAGTCTGTATGCGGATTATATGAATCATCGGCAAAACCTCTGTGATTCAAATTCATTTGTTTCATTAACAGCTCCAACATACGTTCCTGGAACTGTTCATATCGTTTACCTTGACGTTCCAGTAAAGATTCTAACTGTTCAAGATTAATTGACATTGTGAATTGTGAGCCCCGTCGCCACTGATAAGTTCGTCACTTAGTATGCTTGAGGCTATTACGAGTTTACCTTAGTCGATAAACGCGAACGAGACTTTGACCAGCTTCCAGGAAGGCTACCCTGAATCCCAGAATCGAAATAGAAGACTTTGTAGGCGTAGAAGTATATTCTACAAGCACCCAGCAATCCCAGTACAATCAAGCATACAACTCTCGTTTATTTATACAACATAACAACGTCCTTGAGACAGTTAAGAAAATAGCATACTAAAATACACTGTAGCCAATCACAGCCATTGATTTTCCTGGTGGGAATTGAAATCTCAGGGTCATTTGATCAGCCCATGCTGGCGAAACGTGAAAACCAAAATACGGCATTATCAAGCGAATTTCGGGGATCTAACATCCCCAACAGTATGTGAACCATTTTCCTCTTCATGACCAGAGTATAACAGCAGTTCCCCTGAAACTAGCTAGTCTCAATTGTCCTACCTGTGTCCAATGCGTTTCACGGATGCCGAGTACCTCGAGGTTGTATCTTTTCATTTGTGCTGCAACTTGAAATAGTCTTCCAGTCTCCCACAATTTACCAACGTTCCATATACCTTAAAGAATGATTGCTCTGTTTGTGAGAAGAGGCATCGGGTCCCTGACTTCCGAGGGAACTCGGCTTTCATCACGCGACGTCATAATTCTTCTTCCAACTCCCAGAGCAGAGTTAAAATGGTTTGAATAATTTTTTTCTGGTTAGCTTTTTTTTGGCAAGTTAGTTTTTGACGGGATGTACGCGGCAACCCCTTTCATGCCCTCCTTATTTATCTGAGCTTGGGACCGGCAGTAGCCCCGAAGGTCTTACTGCCACAGTAAAAAATACGAACAGTTTTACTAAATTATCGAGCTAACTTCATTTTGTGAAATTATCAAAAGGAAACAATGAAAGCTCAGACAAAAAGGTAAAATGTTTAAATAACAGTTGCAATACATTTCAATAATTTAACTATAGAGAAAAAAATGAAATACAAACCTTGTTGAACAGCTTCCCAATTGGAACAGTATAAAATATAATTGTTCTTTTCACATACACATATCAAAGTCGGTAGTAATTTTTGTCTGTATAAATCAATAAACGTGTGTAATAATAATAATAACAACGAGAAATATATATGTATATCACAAAAATGGACGGGATAGATTGAATGCGTTAAAAAAAAGCAACACAATACGAGTACTTGCATTACACACACACACACAAGTATTAAACAGCAGCACATTGTGTTTGGGATGTTAGATCCCCCCACAGAACTCGCTTGATAAATGCCTTCACTTGGATTTCATGTTTGCCAGCATGGGCTGATCAGTTGACCTTGAGATTTCACGTTTCCCACCAGGAAACACCATGGCTGTGATTGGCTGCTGCTGTGTTATTTTCTTAATTGTCTCAAGGACGTCGTTTCTATGTTGTATAAATAAACGAGAGTTGTGTGTGCTTGATTGTACTGTACTGTGATTGCTGGGTGTTTGTAGAATATACATACTTTCTATGCTTACAAAGTCTTTTTACTTCAGCCTGGGGATTCAAGGTAGTCTACCTGGACGCTGGTAAGAGTCTCGTTCGAGTTTATCGACGAAGGTAAACTCGTAATGTGGTGTGAGCTACTTATAAGTAGTACATGACGTGAGCGTCAACGTAATGTCTGGCAGCAGAAGATGGGGGAAGATCAAGAAAGGAAGAGTTAGAACAAAATGGAATTTGTATGAAACGCATGAATAGTGACAATGGATTGATGTTTTGCAACAAGAAAAGTCCAGTTCGATATGATGAACTGATATTTTGCAAATGAACGATTTACGATATGGTTTTCCAATTTTACTGAGTAACTCTGTAATTTTCGTTAAATACAATCCGGTTGCCCCACCTGGGTTCTCTTTCACTACAGTAATAGCCTCAAGCATAGTTAGTGACGAACGCTACACAATCAATGATGCTAACTGACTAATTGACAATGGGAACACCGAGTAAAAGACACTTCATAACAGTGACATGAATTTTGATGATGATGATGAATTTATTTACATACTTTTAGTGTGGCTTGTGTTAAATTCAAAGTAGGGCTCACTCACTATTTTAATGACCTGCGATTAGACTTCCTTTTGGATGAATGACCGGGTGTTATGTGTAATATAAATCTTTCTTTCGAATTCTGTATATCATACCATAAAAGAGAACGCTGTTTGTGAGACAACAGTAATAAGAAAGAAGTTAAATACGGTTTTGCTGGTGAGTTTATTTCAGGGAAATCATCCCCGTAGACAACAGACATGAGAACATCAAGCAAAATAGCAAAGCGAATTGAAATGAAGAAGGCAAGTGAGCCAATTTAACATGACTGTCTAGACGAGCTATGTTTTTTGGTGTAGGAGTAGGTTAGGAGAAAGCTTGAGGGCAGCTAAACCACAAAAACATGGCACATATCTATGAAGTCATTGACAAGTGAACTCAATCATGTTGGTAAATGTAGACTACTTGGTTGCGGTCCGAGAGACCCAACCGAAGCTGCTACCTTGACGTGGTAGTCCGGCTTGGATATCGCGATGATCCAACCTAGCTATATTCACTTGAATATATGTTCCTGAAAGTTCTACCATGCCAGGCAGGTCGATTGGAGAACGATCAGACTAAAAGCAGCTACTCAAGATTTGAGGACGAAGTCCTACTGCTCACTGCACAGGGGTGTGACAGCAGTAAGGTGTTTCACTCGGACAACCAGCATCTGCAGAGATGCTGCTTTATCACAAGGAAGGAAGGGTTAGAAAAGGTCGACCCTAAAAAGGTCACACCTCACCGTACCTCACGGATTTCCGTCTCCGGCGGTAAGGGTGCCCACTAAGGGCTTTCAAGAGCGGAGCTAACACTCAAAAAACTACTCATAAAAAGGCCGTGCGTGACCGGCTTCAAGCAGTTGTCCCTTGGGCTCTGCGCTCACGCTCCCAGGTCGTTCAGACCAACACTAATCTATCTTCGTTTTCAGGTCCCTCAAGAAACAACCTTCCCTGGTGTGGGCAGCAGGGAAGTGACAACCGCCCTCATACCCGTAACAGCACACGAGGCCAAATTGGTCAAAACCAAATCCTTCTCCTACTAAGGGATTCAAAATGACAATTCGATATCTCTACGCTAATATGGTAATGTGACAATTTGAACTGATGTACGGACGTACGAAGTACTACGTTGTAACTGACTGACTGACTGATGTGGGATGACTGAGTATAGTTAGTTATAGTTAGGCGATGAATAATGATAGGCTATACATACGATAAATGAAGCAAGCATGTAGATAGACACTCAAGTGAAAACAATCATGAAGCTGATGACGAACGAATGATTGATTGGCAAGAATGAAAGACATATGAATAATAACTGGAGAAAAAAGGGATGATGATCAGTTAGTTTCGTTGAGACAAATTGATAGTTTTCAATAATGAATAACCTTTATATGAGACCTAGAAAAAATTCACCTACTTACTAATGATCTGTAATGGATTAGAAATTAACAGAAATTAGAATTTTGAGGTTTTAGAATCAGAATTACGATTTTCCTCACGAATTATTTATCAGCTATAAAATGTCAGAATACCTATTTAGCTAGCTGTATGTATGAATGTGTTTCGTGACAAAATTCAAGTGCGATTTGCTCCACTCATTAATTATAGTCTCATCGAAATTAGATACAATAAACGCTAGACTCACAATATTATACAATAGCTCTAAGTATAATACCAAACTTGGCGTACCCTAAGGTACTATTTTCCACAAAATAACATTTTCACTACACGGTTGTGGAGAATGCTACATGTCAGTGGAATCATACATTAATCAATGTCAGACGACCTATAGAAACATGGAAGCACTGGAACGCTATTAAGTCCTAATATCTAACCCTTCAGTAGTACGCATTCACGACAGTCACTCACGGGAATCCAACCCAGGAACTTTGGTCTTGCGCGCAAACGCGCAACCGTTAGACTGTTGAGCCGGCATCTAGTAGTGTTAATGTCTAACTTTGATCAATCCACGACGATCTTAAGCAATCTTATCCATTGTATTCGGTGCGCACTATTTCACACCTAACACGGTTGGACTCCATTGGTCAGTAGAATTCAAAGAAACAACTTAACTGTTGAAGAGTGCCATAATAAGACGATAAAACCGTCCAATACTCCCAGGTTTCTTTATAATGGCGGTCTCTAATGGATCTATTCATGATTTCAATAATACCATTCAACATTGACATCATGAATGATTCATTGTTAGACCACTATTAAACACCTGGAAGCAATGGACTGATGTTTCATTCTGGTATGAGACTCTTCGGGAGTGGGCGTCCATCCAAACTGCGTCACATATTGCGCAGGCGAAACATCCGTTTGCAAGCTAAGGGACGAGCCTACTGCGCTGCAGTTCGCTCTGTCCTATTATATGGATGAGAGACATGGCCGGTAAGAGTAGAGAACATTCGTAGGGTTATCAGTATTGGATTATAGATATCTTCGAAGCATTGCTCGTATATCGTGGGACAACCGAGTAAGCAATGCTATAGTTAGGAAACGTGTACTATGTAGGAATGGCAGATCAATTGATGAAGTAGTGAAACTCCATCAGTTGAAGTGGTTGGGACATATGTTGCGAATGCTCAACCAACGACTACTTCGACGAGCGATGTTTTGTGATGTAGGAGTAGGTTGGTAGATGTAGACTACCTGGTTGGGGTCCGCAAGACCAACGTCACCGATGGTCAGAGACTCTGAATGTAATAGTTTGAAATTGTTTACAATGATACAGGTGCATTCATTCTTTGTCTCCTGTCAAATTCTAATCTTCTGAATTCCTTATGACCAGTTTTCTCCTTTTAAATTTATTTCATTGAATTATACTTCTCGAATCATATCTTCGAATCCTAGTATTCTCCATTACCGTTAATACTTCTACTATCTCTACCACTATGGGATTTGAATTGACTGTTGTATCTTTTTGCTGAACCTGAACTTATGTACCCATGTACGAAGTTCTACGTTATAACTGACTGACTGAGTGCATCCACAATCCTCTCGCTCAAGACACGAATCGGACCAAGGACTTTCGATCTCGTATGCGCGTACACTTTACCTCTAGACCGACCATCAAGTCGTCGTCATTCAACCATGTTAATGTCCAACTTTGACTCATCTAACAAATTTCGCACAACTCTCACTCATTTATCTTTGATAATAATTACTACCTCATACATTCACCAACCAAATCACTCTTGATGGAGATGCCTTGGAGGATGTTAACACTACCAAAGCCATCATCCAGAAGATGCAAGTGTTTGTTAACAGTTATCTTCGTTAAAATACTTCGTATTTGTTGGCCAGACACCATCAGCAACACAACGTACTAAGGGAGAGAACAAACCAGATTCCTTCAGTGGAGGAGGAAATCAGGAAGAAGCGATGGAGTTGGTGGATAGGACACACACTACGAAAAGCACCAAACTGCGTCACAAGACAAGCCCTCCCATTGGAACCCTCAAAGTGAAAGGAAAAGAGGTAAGGCCAAGGAATACATTACTCCGAGAAATAGAGAAAGATATGACAGGAATGTACAAACATTGGACAGAACTGGAGAGGGAAGCGCCCAGGACAGAGTTGGTTGGAGGAGAAAACTGGTGTTCGACGGCCTATGCTCTATTGGAGGGTAACAGGCGTAAGTAAGTAAGTAAGTAAGTAAGCAAGCAATTACTACCTCATATTGGTTACAACTTTTCATTAGTAGTACATGAAGAATTTACTCACGAAGAAGCTGGTCAGTAAACACGAACTAAAAAAAACACAAAAGCACAACTTACCCTTCCATAGGTAAATGATACAATGAACAACCTAATTGAATCAATGGTTGATTTGTTCGGCATAAAATTGGTTCATATTGATTAATCAATGTCACTGTTGGAAATGTAAGTGTCTGATGATGCATCATGTAATGATCGGTATTATCATGATGATTATTTGACATGTGAATTGTGAATTGTTCAAACCATAATTGTATAGCTAAATGAAAACGTGTACGATTGAATGTATGCAATTGTAAACATTGGACAGCACGATAATTACAATATAAATGTACACTGGTACAACAACCGAAACATAACCATATAAGACTGAAATATTTAAAAAAGAGAAAAACAATATATTATTCATTATGGTGGATTAGTTGTGTTTGTGTTATGCATCATACAATGTGAACATGTCATTTTGATATGTTTGAAACTATTATTACAAGTGATGCGCGCTACTTATAAGTAGTAAGTATATTACTTACTTACTTACTTACGCCTGTTACCCTCCAATGGAGCATAGGCCGTCGAACACCAGTTTTCTCCTCCAACCAACTCTGTCCTGGGCGCTTCTCTCTCCAGTTCTGTCCAATGTTTGTTCATTCCTCTCATATCTTTCTCTATTTCTCGGCGTAGTGTGTTCCTTGGCCTTCCTCTTTTCCTTTTGCCTTGAGGGTTCCATGTGAGGGCTTGTCTAGTGACGCAGTTTGGTGCTTTTCGTAGTGTGTGTCCTATCCACCAACTCCATCGCTTCTTCCTGATTTCCTCCTCCACTGAAGGAATCTGGTTTGTTTTCTCCCACAGTTCGTTGTTGCTGATGGTGTCTGGTCAATGAATCCGAGGTATTTTAACGAAGACAACTGTTCATAAATACTTGTATCTTCTGGATGATGGCTTTGGTAGTTTTCCAAGTTTCCGCTCCATACAGCAGAACTGTCTTCAAATTTGTATTGAAAATCCTGATTTTGGTTCTGGTTGAAAGTTGTTTGGAGTTCCAGATATTTTTCAATTGTAGAAATTCAGCCCTTGCTTTGCCAATCCGTGCCCTCACATACGTAATATCTAGCAGCAGAAGATGGGGGGCGAAGATCAAGAGAAAGGAAGAGTGGGGGGAACACAATTGAATTTTTGTATGAAACGCATGAATAGTGACAATGGATTGATGTTTTGCAAATTAACGGTTTACGATATTATGGTTTTCGAATTTTACCAATTAACTCTGTAATTTGCGATAAATACAATTTGGTTGCCCTCACCTGTGTTCTGCTTCACAATATTACGAGTTCAATTTAGTTGGTGAATGAGAACAAGGATCGATGATTTGGGTGAGACACAACAGGATAGATACTCTAAGCTGAGTGTCCCCCCTCCACCCCGCACTGAGTGAAAGAAACATTCAGACAGTATGAGGTACGAGTTCAGTAGTGCATCAGGATCCGGGTTTGGGTCATAAAATGTTACGGATAATGCGTATTTATACAGTTAGGTTGAATAGGAACCAACATTGAAGTATGTGACATTGACAGTTAAGATAACCACCAATAGGAAACAACATTTGAAGTGACAATGAAATTCAGGACGACCAGTAAGAAATAACATTGGAGTACGTGACATTGATAGTTAGGACGATCATAGAATTGACTAGTAGGAAATTGACCAATAGAATTAGACTTCTAAAAATAATTCTCTTATCATATTTCATGAGTATTCTAACATATATATATATATATATATATATATATATATATATATATATATATACTTCTATCATCTACCGGATTGCGAATCCACAATAGCTTTAAGATATTTGAAGAATATCCTACGAGTTTTCCTTTTTCTAAGCAAGTTAGTTTTCTGGTGTCCTTTGATTTAGGCTTGAAACTGATAGTAAACCAAGAAGGTCTCAGGCAAGCAATATAACAGTAGTAGCCTATGCTACAGTAAGCAACATATATACATAAAACGACCAGTGTTAGACCACCATTAGAAACCTGGAAGCACTGGACGGCCGTTCCGTCCTGGTATGGGTCTCCTCAGCAGTGCGCATCCACGACTCCTGCACCCCGCAGGATTCGAACCAAGGACCTTCGGTATTGGGCGCGAACGCACTAACCGATAGACCACTGAGCCGGTATCTAACGGTGTTAATGTCTAACTTGATCAAATTCACTGAGTTGCGCAACCCCATACACAGTCTTCGGTAGTTACTGTCTACACCCGAACAGGTTGAACTTCACTGGTCACGTCTTCTCACTAGAACTCGGAGAAGATTCCTCACGAAGCTAGTCACTAGTTAGCACAGGTAATTTGCATTACGGGGTTGTGAAGATTGTTAAGTTACACAAAATTGCCAATTTTGCGGCTAAGTCCGCATAGGCATTTTCTATAGGAAAATTTTAGGTCAGAATTTTTTTAATAACTTTTGATAGGAGTAATATTTTTCAACGGGGTTTGTTTTATTTAGCTTCTCTAATCATTATCTATCGAATGGTATATAACACGTATGTCTGTCCTGGCATTTGTGTGTCGCGACCTGCATATGCTCTTACTCGCCATGTACTATAGGGAGACTATCCCTAACTCGGTGGTCTCCTACTAGCTGCAGAGATGCAGTCTAGTTAATATTATAATAGGGGGGATATATATATATATATCAACACCCCGTAATGCAAATTACCTGTGCTAACTAGTGACTAGCTTCGTGAGGAATCTTCTCCGAGTTCTAGTGAGAAGACGTGACCAGTGAAGTCCAACCTGTTCGGGTGTAGACAGTAACTACCGAAGACTGTGTATGAGGTTGCGCAACTCCGTGAATTTGATCAAGTTAGACATTAACACCGTTAGATACCGGCTCAGTGGTCTATCGGTTAGTGCGTTCGCGCACAATACCGAAGGTCCTTGGTTCGAATCCTGCGGGGTGCAGGAGTCGTGGATGCGCACTGCTGAGGAGTCCCATACCAGGATGAAACAGCTAAAAGCTTAAATTCAAAATTACAACCTTAATCAAGTGAGTTCTAGGCATATCTAACATACTCAACAAACACGCCTAACACAATATACATGTACATGAATGATGAGTAGACAGAAGAAGTGAAATTTCTCAATGACTTACAATTGATTACCGGTTACCAAATATAATAGAATAAAATTAAGTAACCATGCCATCAGATTAGATAAAGTTTCCTGTATGAAAAAAACATTTTATTTATGCGATACACAGAAAAGACTTTAGGTGACATACAAACATATTCAAGTATATATATATATATATATCTATACAATATACTTTCGGAAGAGTAGTAAAAGTCCCCTCACATGGCCACCACAAATGTGTATGGTCACTGTCATGAAAGTTCTACTACTACTGCCTTCTCAAAGTTGAAATGTTGTTTATGATAATTGAGAGGATGAATTCGAAAATGTCCACTGTTTAAGACCAGTTGGTGGGTATGAACAATTCATTTAGTCCAGTTGAAAAACCTGGTTTCAAACTAATGGTGTACATAGGCTCCAAGATTCTGACGGAACGAATCTGTATGTAGTATGTGTACTTTTATTTGGAGTTCACAGGGTTTGTCTCAAGCCTTGAGGTTGAATTAACTAATCGATTCTAGTCAAGTTATTATTCACACGTCTTCCGACCTTGACAACTTTTTACTTTTATCTTGATTGTTTCACTGAAGTATGCATGTTCACACGCTTACTTCACTTCTCGCATGTTTGGCTAAATTTTGGTCTGATTATAAATACCGAGTCACGCTTTATCGTACAACGTTAGCTCGGTCACCTTCACCACTTCGCTTTGCTTTAACGCTTTATCTTTTCATGTCTGTCTGTGTCTGCTGCACGAACGATTGCTTGAAATAAACTCATCCAAACCGAATTTTAGACTTCGGTATTTGGCTACATATTACCTTCATCGCACAAAAAACAAGTTTCCCCTAAGTATGCTTGCTATACACAGATTGAAAGGGAGATCTATTTCATAGCATAACCGGATGTTCATACACAAAGGAGTTAGATCGCTAGGCCACCATAAATGTAAATGATGAGTTCGACGATGAACATAATGCAATCTACTACAAAACTATCAATGGTCACTGGCTAGCTACCATTGAACTGTATCTGTAGTGCCTCAACATATATCCCAGTCCGCTTACATTTAATTTGGTTAAGCCCTTTCGATTAATTTATTTAACCAAGCCCTTTGTATAGCAACAATTTATATGTACCATTCGTTCTTGTTATTGTCTGGTTTGTATGATGAGCTCACATGACACGTCCCACTTGTCATTTGACCTTGTCAATCATTCGTCACTTTTATTCATGTGTGTGCACGCCTATTTCGCTTGTCACATGTCTGTCTTATTTTTGTCTGACTAGTCATGCTCTATTTCTTTGAGTTGACTCACTAGCCTTCTCCAATTTGCTTCGCCCATTCGTTCGCATTGTAACCCATGGAGTTGGCTCAAAAGCCTTCTCCAGTTCACGTTGCTTCATTCGTCTTATTCACTGCTTCTCCGCTTCGCTTTGTGGTGTGTCCAGAATAAACGTATTCATCCCTACGAATTCATCTTCTGATTTATAAATCGTCAGACACTATTTGGCAACGATTGTCTGAACGAGCTTATTACGAAACTTAAGAACACACATTAAACAGACACACCAAATATCTTCTAACATTACTTACTCCTGTATCATTTTAGATTAAATATTGAGATAAAACGCTTGTTAAGAAAATTGACCCGATGGAAAACTATCTGCTTTGGTTTAGGTATACGGACAATAATATCTCAGCACTCTCACTGCCCGTATAGCCTGGGACAATCAAGTAAGCAATGAAGTTGTTAGTAAACAAGTACTATTAGGTAAGAATGTCAGATCAATAAATGAGTTACTGTATCTTTATCAATTGAGATAAGTGTTACGTATGTCCAACCATCGGACTGCCTAGACTGGCGATATTTTGTGGTGCTGCAGTAACAGCAGCAGTAGGTTAGAAGAAAGATATGGACGGTCCAAACCGAACACATGGCACAAATCCATGAAGTCATCAACAAATGGATTGAGTCATATTGGTAGATGTTAGACTAGCTGGTTGAAGTACGCGAGATAATAGTAATCGATGATTAGAGAACTTGAATGGCTTAAAATCGTTTGCAATGGCACAAGTGCATCCATTCTTTGTGTTCTCTGTTAAAACCGGACCTTTTGAATTCCTCATCACCTTCATATTTCTCTTTTAACATTTGTTTCACTAGATTCTACTTCATGAATTATATCATCGAACCTTGATCTTCTCTCCATGACCGTTAATACTTCTACTACCTCTCGTATAATATGGAAAGTTGAACTGATGTACGTACCATATACGAAGTTCTACGTTGCTTCTGACTGACAGATATATATATATGACCTTGACCAATACATGTAGCGTAATTCTTTCATATACACACATCAATAGAGAGAGAGAGAGAATTGATAACTAATTAACTAACTAACTAACTAACCTGACTACCATCTTTAGCTGAAACATCAGCTAAATTGTTATTGATCGCTTGATGTTGTACAATAGCTGCACGTGTTGCACTACCCGCGACACCAACTAATGACTTTTTTTTTGTTTTGATCGCAAAAAAGAAAAGAAACATAAACAAATTTATTCAATATGAAAATTAATTTATTTCATGTATTGACTAAATTGAAATTATACTACTCCTCTATTGAAGATTGTATTCGATGAAAATTCTCCTCCACCTTACATAAGGATCATAGTATTTTGCTTATCAAGTTATGCATCGGACATGACTTAGAATAATATGCCGATGACATTGTCCTATTTGGTGAAGACGCTGACAAGATGCAAAGTCTACTGACTACCCTAAGCAACAATGCACGCATGTTCGGGATGTGGTTTTCACCATCGAAATGCAAAAAAGGTTGCTTCAAGATTGGGTTGCATTGGAGCCGGAACTAGTGATAGGGAGTAAAAACAGTTGAGAGTGTAGACCGCTTCACTTATCTTGGGAGTCTCATCAGTGCTGATTGCCCGGTGACTGACGAAATCTCAGCTCGGATACAGAAAGCTCGATTGGCATTTGCCAACCTGCGTCACTTATGGCGCAGGCGAGATATCCGTTTGCTAACCAAAGGACGAGTTTACTGTGCAGAAGTTCGCTCCGTCCTAATGTACGGATGCGAGACTTGACCGTTAAGAGTAGAGGACTTCCGTACGTTACTAGTCTTAGATCATCGATGTTTCCAAAGCATCGCTCGTGTATCATGGGACAACGGTATACGCAATGCTGTCGTTAGGAAACGAGTTGTAGGTAAGGATGGCAAATCAATAGATGAAGTAGTGAAACTTCATCAGTTGGGGTGGTTGGGACATGTGTTACGTATGCCTAACCACCGACTGCCGCGAAGAGCTATGTTTTGTGGTGTAGGAGTAGATTGGAAGAAAGCTAGGGGCGGCCAAACCAAAACATGGCACAAATGCATGAAGTCACTGACAAGTGGATTGAGTCATGTTAGTAGATGTAGGCTTCCTGGTTGGGGTCCGCGAGACGATAGTCACTGATGGTTAGAGACGATGAACGACATGGCTCAAAATCGTTTGCAATGGTGCAGGTGCATCCACTCGTTGCGTTCTATGAAATTCTAAGCTTCCGCATTCCTCATAATCTCTACCTTTGTCCTTCTAAATTTATCTTACTGAATTAAACTTCCCGAATCATATCTTCGAACTCTAATCTTCTCCATTACTGCTAATACTTCTGTTATTGCTATCACTCTTGGATTTGAACTGACAGTTGCGTCTCTGTGCGGATGGGGCATGGCAACCTGAACTGATGTACTTAAGTACGAAGTTCTGCGTTGTATCTATCTGTCTGTCTATCTGCGTCGGACGTGTTGTCTTTATTATATCGCTTAATAAGTACTCATCAATAGAGACTAGGTCGGAATAAAGATGTTTAAATCAACCAGTCAATCACTCAATCAACAGAAACGTAGAATTTCGTACGTACGTATATCAGAACTGCGCGCGTAGATCTTTCGTGGCTGCTGCCGGTCTCGTACCCGAATAAAAGAGGAGAATTGGGATTGGGGTAGACACACATACATATCTATGTATACTACACACACGCACAAATACAAATACAAAATATATATATGTGTACACATCAATATGAAAGGAGTATCAATCAATATTACCTTAAGTAGATTGGCCAAACAAATTAACGGTATAAATAAATATTGGCATAGTGGAGAAATCAGTTCAAGAAATAAAGCACAATCGTTTAAAATATCAGCAATGAATCTATAGAGAAAAGTAAAAAGTGAAAATTACGCGAACTAATCGATGAAATGAAATGAAATAATAACAAGCATCGTGACTATTTGGAGATTTGTATATATATATATATATATACTACTGAATTCCCCGAAACAAAAGCAAAGGTAAACATTACTGATAGCTTATAGTAGCTCAGTTATTCAGCGTTGCCTTGACAAGCGATATTCTATGATGTAGGACTAGTAAGTTGGAATAAAGCTAATGACAGCGACCAGACTAAAACAGCACACATCCATGAAGTTAATGACAAATGGATTGAGTCATGTTAGTAGTAGGTATAGACTGCTTGGTTGTGATCAATGAAACAATCATAATCGATGGTCAGTGACTTTCAAATGCCGTATAGTTTGAAGTTGTTGGTGCAGATGCGTCCATTGTTTGTCTCCTGTTAAGTTCGAATCTTTTGAACTTCTCATAACCCGTTTTAGCTTTTTTTCAAATTTATTTCACCCTAATCTCTTCAATTACTTACTACTGATACTTCGATTACCTCTACTACTATGGGGATTTGAATTGACCATTCTATCCCTTTGCGCTAATTTCGAATATGGCAATTTGAATTGAACTGGCTGGCTATCGACTTATTTTTATCACTTACAAATAAAAATTACATAACCATGGTTTCAAATTATTGTCACGAATAATTATTAATAATAACGAGTAATTTTTTGTCAGTTAAACATTCAATCAAACATGTTTATATGATATAACTACTTACCGCCAAAATTTACAATCACAGTCTAATTTACTTCTACAAAGCGAATATAAGTAGTATAATACTGATACTTTGCCTACCCATGATAACCAGCAAATAGAATTCGTCCAATCATACCTGAACCATCTGGAAAAAAATAAAGGATATATAACTCACTGGTGATTAGTTGCATGAGTGAATTCTCGAAGTTCTAGTGAGAAGTTGCGACCAATGGAGCTCAACTCTGTTTGGATGTAGGCAGTAACTACCGAAGACAAATAAGTGAGGTCGTCTAAAATCACAGTTATACGTGAACACCGTCAGATATCGGATCAGTGCTCTGGAGGTTGAGCGTTCGGGCGTAAGTCGAAGGTCGTGGGATCAAATCCTGAGATAAGCAGAAGTCGTGGGTGCGCACTGCCACTGACGAGCAGTCTCACACAAGGATAAAACGGCCGCACTTTCAGTGCTAGGTTTCTAATGGAGGTCTAATAATGATTGATTGATGATTTCATTGTGCGAATACACCAATCTCCATAACTCTATAATGAAAAATCTTAACTAACGGATTCTGGTAAATTGAATTCAATAAAACCGTATGTACGTGTATACTGACGGCGTTGTGAACATTGTTAGTTTACACATTTGATATTATGAATCGATCAGTGTTAGATCACCATTAGAAACCTGGAATCACTGGAAGACGGCAGTTTCGTCCTGATACGGGAATTATCAGGGGTGCTCATCCACGACTCCTTCACCTCATAGGATTTGAAACTTTCGGGAATTGCCTGTGAACTCCTAACCTCTGGACCACTGGTCTGATATCTAACTTCAATCAGTGCACAGTCTTGCTCGACCTCGTACAGTGTCTTCGGCAGTTACTGTCTACACCCGAACAAGTTGAATTGCACTGGTCACGCACGCTAATGTACATTTTTTAAATATCATTATACATCCTACTTAAAAAACACATTCATCATCTATGGATATACTTAAATATTAGACGCTAAATAATGAAAACATGAAATTCATATGATAATGTTTCAGATTTTTTGAATTAAAATGAAAGAAAGGTTGAGCATGACAAGTTATTCCATAAAATTCACACAGTCATCAATCATAAAGATTCAAAAATCAGTTATCCTTCTCGAAAATTATCACGGCCACAAATTAATTCCATCTTTGTGTATGATGATATGTCACAATAATCACTTGATGACTAAATTTACCAATACTTTGGTGAGAGGGAAAAGTATACTTGAGATGATGGAGAAGATTTATAGCTCAGGTAGATGATTGTGATGGTGGTGTTTGGTTCTTTAAGCTCAGAGAACCAAATCCTACCACAAGTGACTAACACGTATGGAATCACACATGAAATCAAAGTTTAAAAACAACGATTTGTTAAGAGAAAGGTTATTTTACTAAAGAACGCACATAAATTGATTATAAACCTCAAGTTGTGAAATGTTTGAGGCAATTAACATGCCTTTATAACTAGGAAGAAAAGAGTTTTCTGGAATGATAGTACAAAGAATAATTAGAACGTATTACGTTGTATATGTAAGCTGATGGTTGTATCTGATGTCAGCAACAACTAAATAAAATCTAAGAACACACAGATTTAGAAGCTTTTTTGCTCAAACAGAGCTTGGAGAGACATACGAAAGAGTAAATATAAGCATATATAAAAATATAAGATATTGCACCACAAATAAATTGTTACAAATTAAACTGCCTACTGAATAATAACAAGTAGTAAAAAACAATGCAAAAAAAACGATTTGGGTGGCGGGAGAAGAAGGTTAGAGTATTCAAACGACGACATATATGTATTGACAACTACTACAGCCCACATTAGACAATTTACTCAAAAATAATAACAAATTGTCTAAGAGTTATTATTGTTTAACCTTATTAGTTTGAAGATCGCCAAGTTTCGTTGGGATTCCTCGTTGTGGGACTCTTCAAAAGTGAGCATCCACGACTATCGATAGCCAGAATTAAACCCAGACTTTTCGATATTACACGTGGACGCTTAACTCCTATACCACTGAACTGACATTCGACGATGTTAATGTTTAACTTAAATCAATCAGACTCATTACGAAACCTCACCTATCGTCGTCTATAGTTACTGTTTACACCCAACAGCATTGAACTCCATTGGTTACGTGTTTCCACTGGAACTACGAGAATTGTCTCACGAAGCTAGTCACTAATAAGCACAAACTAAGAGGAACCAAACGTCCAATGCTTCCACTTTTCTAATGATGGTCTAACAACGACCAATTCACTGACAAACATCAAAATGAACTATGTTTAACAGTAAAAAAACTAATCATATACTCAAGACAAACCTTTAAACATCCATGTCAGACTAGCACTTAATACGGTAGCTGATGAATTGCCCACACCAACACCGATTAATACTGCTTGTGATGCAAGAGTACCAGTGATACTGCTAGCAAATGCCTAGTTGAAATGTTGTTTGTTTTGGTTGTTTTTAACAAAAAAAAAGAAGAGAGAAATTAATTTTTAGCGATATAAGAGCTTATTACGGGTATCATTATGAAAGAAAAAAGGAGTATTGGCTAATTATTTTGTCTTAGGTAATATAAGACTTCTTGACGATGAGCTATGTTTTGTGGTGTCGTAGTAGGTTAGAAGAAAGTTAGCAGAGGACAAGCTAAGACATGGCAGAAATGCATGAAGTCACTGACAAGTGGACTGAGTCATGTAGGCTACCTGGTTGGGGTCCACGAGACGAAAGTCACCGATGGTTAGAGACGTTGAACGACATGGCTCAAAATCGTTTGCAATGGCACAGCTGAATCCACTCTTTGTGTTCTGTGAAATTCTAACCTTCTGAATTCTTCATAATAGCTACCTTTCTCCTTTTAAATTTATCTCACTCACTTATACTTCTCGAATCATATCTTCGAACTCTAATCTTCTCCATTACTGCTAATACTTCTGTTACTGCTATCACTCTTGGATTTGAACTAACAGTTGCGTCTCTGTGCGGATGGGGCATGGCAACGTGAACTGATGTACTTATGTACGAAGGTCTGCGTTGTTTCTGTCTGTCTGTCTTGATATACTTATGACATTGCCTAAAATTAAACCTCAGGCATATTGATCTTCAGATGTACATATTGAGCATTAGAATGAAGTTGGGGGAAACATGTGAGATAAGTTTTAAACTTGATATTTAGGGAAAGAAAAAAAATGTGGATGCAACTTAGGTATTGTGACCGATTCTGAAATTTATAACTTTAATCTGAGGATTAACTCCACCTGAAGCTTCATTGGGGCCATTGCTGGTCTCAAGCCAGGAAAAACGAGGATGATTGGGCAAGGGCTTGGCCACCAAATCCCGTAGACATGTAACTTGCTAAAAAAAACGCTAACCAGAAAAAATCATTCAAACGATTTAAACTCTGTCCCTGGAGTTAGAAGGACTTCATTTAGAAGAGTTATGATGTATCATGATGAAAGCCAATTTTGTTCGGAAGTCACGAGGCCGATGGCCCTTCTGACAAGCAGAGCAACCATTAATTTAGGTACATGAGATATTCGTACTACCATTGGATGGAGTCGATGACTTGACGATTCTGATTGGCGATCTATATACCAAGGTTGGAATGGACAACACCGAAAACCGTGTTGATGATAATCGCTTGGATTCCAATCAAGTAGTTTGTACTTTTCAGTACGACTTAGTTGTCCATTCGAATCCTATAATAGTAATAGAGGTACTAAAGGTATTATCAGTAATTGGATAGATTAGGTGTGGATGATGTTACTCAAGAAGTAGAACCTAGTGAAATAAACGTAGAGAGAAAATGATAAAAGTGATGAAAAATTCAGAAGATCAGAATTTGATAGAACACAAAAATGAACGCACCTACACCGCTGCGAACGATTTTGAGCCATGTCACTCAGGATCTCTAATCATCGATTACTATCATCTTGCGGGCCGAAACCGAGTATTTAACACCTAACGACATGAATCAGTTCACTTGTCAGGGACTTCATGGATTACTGCCAAGTTTTGGTTTGGCAGCCTCTAGCTCTCTTCTAATCTATTCCAACATATCAAAACGTAGCTCAACGAGTTAGTCAGTGTTTAGGTATTCATAACACATGTCTCAACCACCTAAGCTGATGAAGTTTCACCACTTCATCTATTGACCTGTGATCCTTACCTAGCCACCGTTTCCTAACAACACCAATGCTTATTCGGTTGTCCCAGGATACATAAGCAATGCTTTGAAGACATCTGTGATCGAAAAACCAATAACCTACGAATATCTTCTATTTTCATCCGCCATGTTGCACAGCCATATAGTAGGACGGAGTGAACTACTGCGCAGTACACTCGTCGTTCAGTCAGCAAACGGTTATCTCGCCTGCGCCATAGGTGAGGCAAGTTGTCAAAAGCCAATCGAGCCTTCTGTATCAGTGCTGAGATTTCGTCAGTCGCCAGGCCGTCAGCACCGATGATACTCCCAAGATAAGCGAAGTGGTCAACACGCTCAACTGTTTCACTCCCCTATCACTAGTTCAGATGCCGACGAAAGCCAATCTTGAAGTAAAATTATACATTTTGACTGGGAGAATCGCATCTTGAACATCTGTGCATTGTTGCTTAGGGTAGTCAGGAGACACTGCATTTCCTCAGCGTCTTCATCGGCATATTCTCAGTGAACCAATGAATTTCCTGGTAGAAGATCTACCCCTGGAAAGTTAGATAAAGATGTTATATCTAGAAGCATGTCTACGGAAAAAATTAAACAAGAACGGAGAAAGTGGACATCCCTGACGGACACCTTTTGAAGTAAAGCATTTCGGTGACAGTTCGCCAGAAGCTCTCACCAGACCAGTAGTGTTCGATTAGATAGCTTGTATAAGATTATTATACGTCTTTGTTACACCTTTCAATGACAAGCACTGCCAAAGAACCTCACAATCCACAGAGTCAAATACGGCCTTAAGCTCCAGGCGGAGATTGTATCAAAGCTTTGGGTTGAAATGTAAAATAGTTTACACTTAAAGGAAAAGAATTTTCTATTTAGTTGCATTAAAACTAAACAGTCTATGAACGGAACTTTTAGTTATTCAAATTCGAACTTATTACGCTGATACTTAAGTATGGATAATTGGATGAAATCTCTCACTTTCGCACAAAATAAACATGAATCACAACTCAATCTTTTAATCAATTCTGATTATTGTATTCAGTCAGTTAGTCAACAGCAACGTAGAACAACGTAGATGCACCTGAACCATTACAAATGATTTTGAGCAATGTCGTTCACGGTCCTTAATCATCGGTACTAATGTATCGCGGCCCCCTAACCTGGTGGTCCACACCTATTAACGTGGCTCACTCCACTTGTCAACGATTTCATGGATTTCTGCAATGTTTTGGTTTGGACGCCACTAGCATTCTTCCAACCTACTCCTACATCACAAAACATAGTTCGTCGAGGCAGTCGGTGGTTGAGCATACGTAACACGTCCTAACCACCTTGACTGATGAAGTTTCACTACTAGATCTATTGATCTGCTGATTATTGTAGTACCCGATTAAGACGCTGAATCAACTAACGAGTTTCTGAGTTCATATTGAATAAGGCGGTTAGGATCTTAAGTCTAATCAAACGTATCACAGCCATCGTAAATACAAATATCTATCTCGGTATGAGTGCTATTATACCAGATAACATCTAAATAACCATTATTAGGGGATGTATTTTGTGTTTTATTCATCACCTATCAACTTCTGGTCTATATATTCGGCTTATAGTCCTGCTATTTATGTGACGGCTATTGACACTACCTGATTACAAGTACGCCCTGTTGGCGAGTTCCATTCAAAAAGAAGACTAGAATATCTTCCGGCGCATCTATATAAAACCACCACGTCACCTTAAGTATCACTCCATCTACCTTAGTTGTAACAGCTAGATAGTAATAACAGACTCACATGTATGAAAGTCTTTACCCCGTAAATGAGCTAAACAATCAATATAGATAGCAAACTATTCACCTTTTACAATCGAAAAGAACCCTTTACTTATACTTATACTAGAGAGAAATAGCTTGAACAGATTTAATTATTACAATCATAAAGCCATAACGCTTTAAGTAACTGTTGAAAGTTTTGCAATGATGAAAGAAAAAAGACAAACAGCTACACCTACTTGTATAGTATCCCAAATTTGATATTCTAAATAATCATCACTCACACTAAATGGATATCCAACAGGTAGAAAAAACTTCTGTAATAAAAATGGAGTAAAATTTGTGCTTCGATTTGTGTTTCGTTTATAAAAGAAACCTTTAAAGTCACCCATATTAAATGTAAATCAAATAATGGTCGAAGTCGATGATTCTGAATTTTCTCCAAAGTGAATATACGAGAAATTTCATCACCATATGATTCAATAAACATTTTTTTCCTTGAATGTTTATGATAATTTTGAACAAGAAGTTGTTACTCAGTAGGTTATTGTTGAAAACAAACTTATTTATTGGTGAAAATTGAGTATTGTTGAAAACACTAGTCTAAAAAAGAGTATGAAATGAATTTTTTGGTTGTCTCTCAGAGAAATGTTTAGGAATATTATTTTTATCATACATAACTAATTGACTTGAAAATAAACTAGCACCTAAACGGAAACTATAAGGAAAGATAGAAGGGGATACTAACAGTGATAATGGATATATCGCACGACATGGGGCAAACAGGGCTAATGAACGTAAAAGCACTAATTTCCATTACAGCATGTACTTAATAGGTGTTTAAGGCAATGAATGTTAACCGAGAGTGTACACGGTGTGCGTATGAAAGTATCTACTGAGTCTGTTGGTACATTGTTCAGGAGAGTCTCAAATACGATTGACATGGGACCCTAGTTGGTTGTTCGCTGTTTGATGTACATTTTTTTAGAGGTTGAATTATAAATCTTAATATCTGGCTTGATTGTTTTTATTAGTTTACAACAATTACTTTTTTGAACCATTATTAGGTCTTCTTATTTCAATTATTCCACATAGTATATACATATATCTATATATGTTGGATTTAGAATATGAAAGATAAACGGAAACAAGTAAAATACATTTCTTGCCATTGTTAACATTACCTAAATTTAAGAGTAGTCGAAAACTCCTGCGCAATCACGATTTTGTTTAGGCTCTCAGAGACCTTGAGAATGTATATTACTTTAGGACCATTAAAACGCTGTGACAAAATTTTCACAAGTTAGGTGACTCGGTATGCATGAAGAGGATGAATTTACTAGTCGAAACAACTTAACAGTGATCCTGGATGCCTTGACTGGTACTCTTCTATCTAAATGTCTTTATCATCAGAATTCCAATATCCAATATTTTGTACACAAGCTAATATTACGCGATTGATTTCTTTCCGCGCAACTCTTGTTTTTCTGTAGGATTCAAGGTATTCGATTGTATCCAATGGGAAGGAATCTAGATACTGGACTGGAGTAATCGTATTATTAGACTGAGGTCGTGCTATTCGAAGACAACGCTGAGATAAATTTATCTAAGAGGTCATTACTGAATCTCACGAATAGAAGTGAAACTAAAATGGTAGCCTGTTGAGAATCACCAACTCTCTCGCACTCCATTTATCTTGTTGAAAAACTTCAGTTCTCAAGGTGGTCTGCTGGCAAAGATAAGAGTGGGTCAGCGAAGCCGATTTCCGCAACGTTCGCAAATTGGTGTGCTTGAGGGAATGTGTCAAAGTCTTTCGCAAAGTCGAGAAATAATATGTGCACTGATGATTTCCGTTCCCAGCAAGTTGATCAACTGTTCTATAGTATGAGAAGATTGGATGCTTACGACCTGCCTTTCCTTTTCAAAACGCTGTTGCAAATGAAGGATGTTATTAGTTGTATAGCTGCATTATAAAAATAGTGACAGAATAATAACAGACTCACCGTTCTTGGCAAGGAACGTCAGCTCACAAAATTTAGTGACGATGGAGTCGAGAATGTCTATGATCACCACTAAATACTATTGTGTTTCACGACGTACTTCATTGCTGCCTAGAGTGAATTCATGACTGAGCGTCTTCAAATAGCATGTAGTCAGGTTAGTTTCAAAGTAAAAATCTTACAGAACTGAATAATTAGAGATATTATTAACTGCCACAAAGTATTTGCCATAACTGAAAGACGGATTTATGATATATCAATATTCGAACAGTAAAATTTCTGATGTTCTTATTTACCATTACGCTTGAGAAATGTTCGTTCGCGTACATTCGAACTAGAGCGATTATTTTTCTCTGACGTCGTACTTTAAGTATTTTATTCAGATGGACTGAACAGTTAAACGTTAAACTTAGCAATTTTCAAACGATCCATGTGTCTCATTATAAAACGTCTAATCGTGGTACTTATAGTGTAGGCAAATACAAAGAATTGAATGGTTCAAATATCCTTTTTTGGCTCACTAACGGCTCATGAATATTTTATGAGCTATTTCATAACAACTTTTCTGCAAGGTCATACATTAATTGCAGTCACAAAAACGTTTTACGCTGGAAATCATTCAGCGACCTTTGTAGAATTCTTTTTGAATGTTTTGTGTTTTGGAAAATCCCTCCATGTTTACATATTTTTGCTATGACATGATGGACTTTTTCTCTTGACATTTTGGTATTTTATTTGATTCCAATTTGAGATTTTTACCATTGTATGTTGTTATTCTTTCTATATTTTGTACTTATATTGAAGTTTTTGTGTTTGCTTTTGAACTGTACATATATTGTTTAAATTTGATATAATATGGCTACCGCCACATTTTCGGCTGGGACGCGGTGGCTGCTGGACTTAGTGTCACTTACTAGCTATTGTACTGGATACTCTACGGAGTAATTTAGTCCTGGAAGAAACAAAAATACCGTAAGACTCTGTATTTCCATTTTATATTAATAAGAGACGTTTTCTCCTAGAATTTTGACCTTTTGATTTGGCTGGGACCTGGATCTAGGAGGAACGTACAGGAGTGTTTCTATTGGAGACAATTAGGACAGCCGCCGTCGAAATAAATTCTACAGTCTGGTATTTGTGCTTCTTGCGTGAATTATACTTGGAAATATTCATCGGAATATATATATTTTGGAACTATTTGGATTACTAAGAATTATAAAGAAACATTTGGAATTTTAATCGTTTATCATACTAGACTTCCTTGGAGGAAGAAATTGGAACTACTTATCATTATTTTTGAACTGAATTTTGGAATTACTCTATTTTGTATTGTTACCTCTTCTATTGGACTTTATTTATGATGTCAAACCGAAAAAAATCACACATGAGGACGGTGGAAGAGCTCGACGGATCACAGGGCTCTAGGCAAGTCGTTAGTGATAACTTTTTTATGGGTAACCCACATGTTATGTCTGATATTTATTATTGTAAGTCATCGATAGAGGGTTTAGAATTACCTAAGGTTGAACTCTCATTTTTTGATGGAAGGTCTCGCGACTATTTTAAGTTCATACGACAAATAGAATCGTTTATAGAACCTCGAATCAAGGATGATCAAGTGCGTTTATTGTATTTAATTCATTATTGTAAGGGAAAAGCAAAAAATGCGATTGAAGGCTGTATTATTATGGATCCACAATCAGGATATAAGAGAGCTAAGGCCATTCTAAAACAGCTCTTTGGACAGACGCATGTAATAGCGCGAGAAACCTTAGAGGACTTATTTAGAACTGGGAATGTAGAACTTAATGATCCTGAATCATTGACGAACTTGGCTATTAAAATGCAGAATGCTGCTTTAACTTTAGAACAGCTCAATTGCACAACGGAACTTAACTCTATGGCTACTTTAGAACGAATAGTAAGGCTCTTACCTCGTCGAATGCAAGCCCAGTGGGCAGAGCTAGTATTCAAGTGGGACGAAGAGGAAAGAGAGCCCAATTTTAACGAATTGACGGAATTTATTATGTCTCGTGCTAAGATAGCTAGTAGTAGGTTTGGAAGATTAGCTTATCAGGCTGAAACAGGAAATAATACGGAAGCTACTAGTGGTCTGCGTGCGAGACATTCGGATTTTTCGTTTCTACCTAAAGCACGCTCGGAAGATAAGAGATTTGTCAATTATATCACGAAAGCATACGCTGATGAAGGACGAGTATGTGACCGTAACGATGTAAAGCCTCTTGATGTGTGTCCTAGTAAGAAGCCGGTTGGTTTAACAGATAAGATGGCTTTTCTAAGTGTAGAAAAGAAAGAAAAAGGTGAAAAGTGTAGGCATCAAGATGGATCCGAAGTGTGTGATGATAAAAGCCTCTTAGCTGCTCGAAAAGCCTGGAACGGTTATTTGGATTCGAGTAATCAGAGGTTAATGAGTTCAGCCAATATGAATAAGACCCAGGCAGGATTGTCTGAACGGAATAAAGCTTATTTTCGGAACCCTTCAGTTAGGGTAAATTATATAACTGGACCTAGAGTAGACTCTAGGATAAGTGATGGTGGTACTGTAAAGGCTAAGAAGCCTAGGAGACAGCATGATGCTACTATTACTAAGAAGCCTAAACCTCATGCTCTTTCGGATGCTACGACTAGCCATGGAAATAGTAGCCATCAGAACCTTAGTAGTGACAGTGATAATAAGGAGATAGAAACTGTCAGCAGTCCACTTATAGTGACTAGTCTATCAACTTCATCGAATGAGCCTCCTAGTGTTTCGACATCATCGGACCTCGTCACGAATGTTAAGTTGATTGAAGATGCACAAGGTTTTGCAACTGTAACTGTTCATATTCCGGTTGACTGTCAGTCGAGTGATGGTGAGAAGGTGTTTGATGGTAACAGCCAGTCTACAGTGTTGTGTGATGACGATGCTATTGATGAGCATATGTCTTGTGTCTCTGAAACGGATGCTAATGCACACCGAATCGACGCGACTTGTCTGACAGAACGGAATCATTTAGACGTTGATAGTAAACTGGATGTCACTGATGTGACAAATGAGTTACCGACGATGATGAATACTGTTCAAACCTCCTCTGCATCAGGAGATGGAAGGATAAATATTGATCCTACGTCATGCTACTTAAGGTCTTCTGGAGACGATGAAATGTCAGAATTGGAAATTCCACCCTTGCATATTATTTATGTGTCAAAAACTTCTGTTGATAAGCTAGCATCACGGACTTCATGGTATCTGTTGATCGGAGCAAGTGGTGGTGGATTGGCGACTCGTCCCCACGATAGAGAATGTAGTCCTTGGATAGGATATGACCAGTTTTGCGACGCGTTGTTCCTGTTCGTATGGGTTAATTGGGTAAGGTTTATACTACCGTTAGGTCATTCCACGATAGATAGGGGAATCATGGGCCTGATGGATAGTATAGGTACCTAGTTAACATGATAGGTCATATCCATGTTGGATGGCGGGTAGGCGTACTGCTGTAAGTCCTACACGTCATTCCGGTGTGGATTAGGGGATAACATGGGAACCCTAAATAAGGTGTCATTAACGCTTGCTGTTTTTGCATGGAGGGATTTTGCGGGCCGGTGTAGAATTCTTTTTGAATGTTTTGTGTTTTGGAAAATCCCTCCATGTTTACATATTTTTGCTATGACATGATGGACTTTTTCTCTTGACATTTTGGTATTTTATTTGATTCCAATTTGAGATTTTTACCATTGTATGTTGTTATTCTTTCTATATTTTGTACTTATATTGAAGTTTTTGTGTTTGCTTTTGAACTGTACATATATTGTTTAAATTTGATATAATATGGCTACCGCCACATTTTCGGCTGGGACGCGGTGGCTGCTGGACTTAGTGTCACTTACTAGCTATTGTACTGGATACTCTACGGAGTAATTTAGTCCTGGAAGAAACAAAAATACCGTAAGACTCTGTATTTCCATTTTATATTAATAAGAGACGTTTTCTCCTAGAATTTTGACCTTTTGATTTGGCTGGGACCTGGATCTAGGAGGAACGTACAGGAGTGTTTCTATTGGAGACAATTAGGACAGCCGCCGTCGAAATAAATTCTACAACCTTAGCTAGGCCATTATTATGAGATTATAAACAATGAACAGTAGTTTAGTTATGATATGGGATCCCTAGGCAGTGCCAAAATTGAGGTTAGATTTATGACAGACATTAAATTCATTAGAAGTTAGGCATCCGCACGAGTGACCAAAGGTCCTGAATTTGA